ATTGTTCAGAGTTGCACGTATTTCTATTTTTTAAATTACTGCAAAAACACAAATTAGATTCAAATGATCGTTTCATGTTGCTCAACGTTACCCAAGTCTCTGCGGGGAATTTGCTCAACATTCCCCGTAGAGAAAGTGCGACAGAAGTTGTATTAATTAAAATGGGATTGGTGTGATTCTAAATAAAGGAACTGCTGCCACCTGTTGGTCAGATTGTACAGGATCCACATTATTTGTATTCCTCAGGGGTAAAGGGACATGTCACACAGTGTACTAAAGAAAAAGCTCTCATCACAAATGTGATGCATGCTTGGTTACTCCTCATAGAGTACATAAAGAACTCATGTGAGTTCACATTCGCAAATTTAACACATTTAACCCTCCTGTTATCCTTGGGGTCAATTTGACCCCATTCAATGTTTAATGTATCTAAAAAAAATGGTTCACATTATTTTTTTTGCTTAGTATTTCATGACTTTTCCTAATTTAAATGTCCTGTACGCACTTTGTACGCAACGGTGTTCCTTGGGGTCAATTTGACCCCAGGCTGTTTTAGTAGTATAAAACATATAACAATCAATGTCAACATTTTACACATATTTGTGTTGATTGTGTAGGATGATATTGAGGTGACTATTACATGCAAATGTATCATTGTAAAACAAAACTACCCTCTGCTTTAGTTATTGGTCCTTTAACAACATCAAAAAGATCTTACTTTAACATTTTATTTCAGTCAGTGAGATTTTATGGTGATGTATATATTTTTCGATAGTCACATAATAGGAACTCTGGATGTATAAAGGGGTCTGTGGGGGGAAGGTTGGGGTAATGTTTTATTTAAATGGTTATTTAGGTAGTCAACTAAGATACCTAAAGCACCAGAGACATACATGTTGGTTAACATTTGGAATATGATCATTGTCTTGAGTTTTAAACTACTGGGGTCAAATTGACCCCAGAGGATAAAGGGTGTAAAGTAAATCTGAGGATAACAGGAGGGTTAAGCAATATCTTTTAGTCATTTTGTATTAATCTAAAGCTCATTGACAGAGCCTGGACTGACCATCAAGATATTTGGGTTTGTTGATGCCTGGGGAATACCAAAACTCCTCCTTTTTTGAAAAGGCTTAATCATTTCACACAAAATTCATTGATTGTGTTAAAGTAAAATGGAAATCTTTTTTCAAACTCTCACAACTTTATTATGTGTTGTTATAATTGCAATTTCCAAACACACTTTTTATTTCTACATCATTCTCACACTAGCAAAGACCCTTCAGCAAATCATCAACTGGACAGTAGTGCTGCAACTTGACTTTTGTCTCAATTTGTTTTTTAGTATATCATTTATGAAAGTAGAGGATAATGACCTTGTGACTTTTTGTTCAGTCTGAAATCCAAAGTAATCAATTTTCTATGATGTAAAAAAGATAAAAGCTGGAGATCTCCAAAAGTTAGAGGCTTGAAAGCAGCATGTTCTGCCATGTTTGCATACATAATTACTTTAATGATTCACCTAATTTAACAGAATGGCTAATAGTTGCAGCTCTACTGGACAGTAACAGCTGTCAGGTACAATAAGCAATAACAGTGACAGAGCAAAAATGAACACAACAAGGTTGACATTTTGACCTGAATGCTTCTGTCCCTGCTTTGTAATCAGGGCAGTTGCATAAACTGTCAACATCTCCTTTGTGTTCCGAGAAGTCGAGTCAGTTTCCTGTTTTATCTTTTGGCCGGACCGGCTTTTTGTGCTGATGCAGAAGAGGGCAGACTGGAGGTAGCGGCTTGCGGCTCTGGCAGGGCTTGTTTCCTGGTAGGGAGAAGCCTGGATCCCTCAGCACGACGTGAGAGCTTTCCCGCTTGGAGTAGCCCAGTGTCTCTGATTTGGCGCGTGGGCCAATGATGACAGGGGGACACGTCTTAGGGATGATGGTGGTCATGGTCCGAGTCAGGACTCTTCCTCTCCTGGACGCCAGAGTAGGAGCTGCTGAAGGCTTCTGTTTCTTGTCTGGACCTTTGCTCTCTTGCTTCTCCTTGTCATGTTGGAGATTGTGGGATTGCCAGCTGCTCTGCATCTGACTCTCCAAGCCTTTCAGAGCCTGGTCCATGTAGGCCTGCATTTCTTTACGCACCTGAGAAATCTGCACTTCAAATTCATCCTTTAAATCCTTTTGACTAGCCTCAAGCTTTTCCTTGAACATTACACACAGCTTCTCTTCCTTTACATGCATCTCATCTTTGCTGTCCTCCGTCAGCATCTCTTTCTTCTCCCCACCGTTGACGTCTGTGCCCTCGGGTTTGACATCCACCTGTGCACTCTCTGTTTCTCTGTCTTTGACTCTCTGCACCAGCTCCAGAATGCTGCTCTTCACACCCGCCTGTGATCTGATCTGGTTACGTACCTGCTGGAAAACAGACTGCACCTTTGCTTGTGTTTCCCTCTCTGCTGCACGACTGTCCTCCAAACACTCATCATCCAGCAGGACAGAGGTCTGCTCTCCTCCTGCAGCCTCCTGATGTTTCCCCTGTTGTTTACCATTCAACAGTATTTTGGGATTTGTTTCAGGTGATGATTTGCTCATTTCTATTCCGTCTTGAGAGCTGTTTGGCTCCCTTTGACTGAGCTACTACAATGATGTGAGGAGTGCTGGCGTGGGAAGGAGCTGATCCACTGCCGTGTTTGTCCTTAGAGAGACTTGATACCAGGGGATTTACAGTCTGATGTAATGCAGCATGATGTATGAGATAATGCTTTAATATAATGTGGGGAGTAAAGCTGCGACTAAAGAGTATTTTCTTTATTGGTTAAAATGCTGATTATCTTTTGAATCATTGATTAATTAAGTTGAGGCTAACTGTTAGGGAAATATTTTCCAAGGCCCATGACTTTGACCCAGTTTATCAGTTCATGTCCTGACTGAGCACACGCAACTGTAACCTTGGCTGCTGTGCTCTCAGCGTTTTGTGCCCCTGTTCCTGCCTGTTGACTTCAGCTGATAGAGGTGTTATCATCCTATCTTGTTATGCACAATGTGGATTATTCTCTCTGAACTAAATACATGGGTCTGGGGTAGAGTTATTCAGAATTGACGTGGCAACTCTACCGTGAAGTCAGAACCTCTGGCTCTTGGACTTGATTTGTGAATTCTCCGGCCGAAGCTCCTAAATAAACCATCAGTGTTTGACATCAAAGCTCCAGCTCTCCCCGTGTCTCCTTCATGAGTCGATGACTCCCACTGCATTGCTACACAGAAGTTTCCCCCACACTATAAAATGTCAGAAAAAAGTGAAGAAAAAGGTAATCACAGTTTCTCAATGTCCAAGATGTTGTCTTTAAATAAAACAGTAAAGCCACAGAAATTAAAATACAAATTGAGTGGCTCTAGATGCATACAAATAACATAAGCCCATATTTCATTATCAAATGATGTTGTTGGTGTCTTGCTACTAATTGTTTAGTACATTTATCGTTAAGGTGATTTGATTTAAGATAAGGTAATATACGATAAGATGCACCTTTATTGATCCCCGTAGGGAAGTTCAGGAGTTTATATGAATACAAATACGAATAAACATATAGGAACAGTATGAATAGAAGTTACAAAAACAACATGGGTTGAAAACTATTTTAATACCAGTTCAAATATCAAATCTTGAAAAAAAAAAAAAAAACATCACTTTCAAATAAGTGCAACGTATGCAATTTTGTCCAATGTCACTCACAGCAGACCACATTTGTAATGTTATTATTTGTTATCCTGCATGTTGTGTTCTACTGGCTGCATGAGTGTAGTTGCATCCCATGACTACAGTGAACCTCCAGGAGACTGCATGAAAAACAAAAATCTTCAGGGACTGAGGGGGGGGGGGGGGGGCTCTGACTCCTCATTAGTGAGCTGTTACTGGAATGTGAGAACACTTATGTATGTAGTAAGGCTGCTCATCAACATGTTTTCCTTGGAGGAATTGACTACATATGTTTCATTTATACTGGCAACACTTTGCAATTCAGATTCTCTTCAAGTCTTTTTTTATTCTTTGGAATATATTGAGTTTCTACATGTTATATACAGTATATGTAGATGAAGAAGTTTGGAGTAATCTTTAAGCTGATTTACAGGTTGTCGCTAAGACAACATTATTACTTTTAGTTCCTATGAATCTGTTCAGTTGCAAAAGGGTAAAAGCCCTCTTGGGAGCAAGATTAATGATGTATTATTATTATTTCATGCACCTTCATTTGTACCTAAAATGGGTTTTAAACAGTTTACAACAGAAAAAGCTTAGAAAGAGAAAAAAATACTCAGTAGTCGTAATGACCTCAAAGTTTGATTGCGTACCTTTAAAGGACAGATCAAAGCCTGATTCATGTGACATTTGAGTTTCTTTTTGGTGAAACAAAGCACACAATAAACCCATCTGCACTTTGGACCTATAGCAAAAGCCTTTATTTCCAGCTTGTCCCAAAAACAACCACTTATTACGGATTCTCGATGTATCACATCATTACAACGCTAATATGACAGCTTTGAATCATTTTCTATACACTCTTTTACTGAAAGAAATCAGAATTGTTGTAAGAATATATGTGGTGGAGGATTGATGGGATGGGGTCATTTTCAGGAGTTCAAACAGCTCAACGCCAGTGAGCCAATGGGAGTCCTGCATGAGTGAGCCTCCTCTCGCCACGCCACTAAACACTAACATATGGACGTCGGCTTCTTCTTCTGGTAAAAAACATACAGCTGTAATTCTAAACCTGTTTGAACCCTGTTTCTGTATGCTTTTGCAGAAATAATAATAATAAAATGTATTCAGCATGCACTAGGTAGCAGGGAAGCAGATCAAGTTGCAGGTCTAATTTAACCTGTGTTGACATTGTTCCCCAAGTAATCATTGTTTAACAGCAAAAGTGAACCAAGCATCGATACCCCTCCTCCTCTTCCTCCTCTTCCTCCTCCTCCTCACCGGTGGGAGTGGATCTAGAAACGTCCTTTTGAGCTTTTAAATTCAGAGTTTCATTGTTTATTTCCTTCTGACAGTCAGGGCAGGTCAACAGGAGCAAGATGGTGAGTAACCTCTCAGTGTTGAGCCAGATAGCTATTCTTTTATAACTAGAAAAAGAGACATTGTTAATAAAAGTATACAATAACTTTGGTTAATTGGTTCATTTAGCCTATTGCACTCTTTCCTATTAGTAGCTCCTTCAATTAAATGTTGTAAACATTTAAACTGTTTATGATTTAATTGTGTGTCTGGCATCTTATCACTTTGTTACTCTGTTGGAAAAGTGTTATACAAAAGGTTTGTTATTGCTATTATTGTGTTGTGTGGTAAATAACATTTGTCACTGGACTTCAGCAGGGTTGTTCATTTGTTATAACTTTATGATGTGCTTTTGTCATTATAGACGACATACACAGATAAAGGCGAAAAGGTAAGTTTCCTTTTTATATGTGTTTTACCGCAGAACAGAGGCCATTAAGCAAGTGGAATCACTGCACAGATATCAGGATTTTAATGACACTTAACCAACATCAGTTGTGTGTGTGTTTGGTTTCCATCTATGTGTTTGTCCCCCAATGTAAATGTTAGCGGCGCTGTGTGTTTTAACGATTTCACAACAAAATATTTGTTCTTATCTTTAGCATGAGCAGGGCAAGTTCCTCTGCTTTGATCACCTCACGTTCTGGGTTGGAAATGCAAAACAGGTAAGTTAATCAATAACTGCTGCCAAGGGTTTTTTGGGTACATTGTTTTTTTTTCTGACCAACTTTTCTCACAGATGGAGGGGTATACTAAACATTCAGCAAGGCTATTGGTTCTGCTGAGGGGTGGAGGGGGAGACAGCATGTCAAACCTCAGACCACATATTTAATTTCCCAAAGCACAAACTGAGTCTCGCCTCCTCACCAGGAGATGGTGCTATCAGAGAGTTTAAAATGAACCTGTTGCAAACATGCCCAATTTCAGTTCACTGTAACAAGAAGAGATTATCAGTTGAATAAATTCATTTTCTTCAACAGGCTGCATCGTATTACTGTAACAAGCTGGGATTTGAGTCTCTGGCCTACAAGGGTTTGGAGACAGGCTGTCGGGATGTGGTGTCCCATGCAGTCAAACAAGGAAAGGTAAAGAATCTGCAGTGCCTGGAAATCAGCAAGAAGAATGGTTTATTGCATCTACAAAAATAATCTGTTTGTGCAGATGTTTGACTTTTATAGAAATGAGTTCAAATTAAAAGGACTGAAATGGTAATAGATGGTTTTCTTGAGCAGTGAAGATGGTCAATTAATAGCTATTGGACTCAAAAGGTGCGTTTGTACTGACTTAGACAAGGTGGGAGAAGTTAATGTCTTCACTTTGTTTTTCACAGATCGTTTACGTGTTCTCATCTGCCCTCAACCCTGGAAACAAAGGTACGCACTGATCATAGACCGAGAAATCAATATGGACATGGATGAAGTAGTTATTGTCTTACATACATGACTATAATATATCACAACTTTTTTCATCTCTAATGTATCTGGCATTTACAAGAAACATCTTTTTTGTGGATGATAACATTTCCAAAAATATAAAATTGTTAAATATATATTTGAAATCACTATTGATTTGCAAAAGTCAATTCAGTCTTGAATTCATACATTGACATCATGATTCAAGACACTTAAAGAGTTAGAGATTAATAATAATATTAACAGAATGTTTGAAAACACAATTTTACATTTCCTATTACATAATTTAAATGTTTTTATTCATTTAGTTGGTTTACTATAATAATGTCTATTGCCTGTATCATTCAAAGGATTTATTAATTATTTAAAAAATGTTTGGGGGGGGGGTTACAATTGTAAATGTCTCGTGTTGAAAAAAAACAAATGCCAACAATGGTTGCTTGTGTGTGGCTAAATTAAATATTTTTGTCTCGTCTTTATCTCAGAGATGGGAGAGCATTTAGTCAAACACGGTGATGGAGTGAAGGATGTTGCATTTACAGTGCAGGACTGTGACTTCCTTGTGCAGGTAACAGGTTTTCTTTCAAACCTGCATTCACAGTTCTATTCTCACACATCATTAACTTACATTACAATTTATAATATTTCCACTTACCATACATCCTCATAAACAGAAAGCCAGAGAGCGAGGTGCAATTATCGTGAAGGAGCCTTACACCCTGGAGGATAAGCATGGTAAAGTCAGACTGGCCGTGCTCCAAACGGTAAGGCACTAAACACAAATGTACATTCAGTAGTTATGACTCTCCATTTAGCACAAATGCCAGATGTATACTCTTGCTTTTGTTTGCTGCAGTATGGTGACACCACACACACGTTTGTGGAGAGGAGCGGATACACCGGGTTGTTCCTGCCAGGCTTCCAGCCCTCTATGTTCAAGGATCCTTCACTGGCCAAACTGTGAGTGCATACGAATGTTTAAAAGATAACAGAGGTCAGACTGACAGCAAAGTGACAGCGTGTTTATTTGCTTTTGCTTCCATTCTTCTTTGCAGACCAAGTGGAAAACTGAACTTCATCGATCACGTTGTGGGAAACCAACCGGATAATGAGATGGTCCCAGTGGTGGATTGGTAATGGACTCAACTATTTCTTGTGCTCAGTTTAAAATATTGGCGGATCATGAGACATTAGGACCCTAGGTGCTAACATGTAGAGGGCCCTTACCTTTATAGGAATAAGAGCCACAGATTAAAAGAGACATCTTTGGGGATCTCTTTGCAGTGGTTTTGCATCTCTTTGTGATCATATCGTGTCCCTTTTCCAGTTGTTCTGTCTCCTAGTGATTGTTTTGGGTCTATGTGGTCATTGTGTGTCTCAGTTTTTGTCTATTTTTGCATCTCTTTTTCATTGTTGTGGACTCTTTTTGATGTTTTTGTATCTCTCATTTTGGGTGTAAATGCGTGTTATGGTCATTTGCTTCTCCATGGATGCCTTGCTTTTCTTTATAGAGGTTTTGCGTCTCTTTATTTAGTGTTTTGGTATCTCTTTTTGGATGTTTTGTGTCTTTGCATAGTATTTTATGTTTTTTGTCCTCATTGTATGTCCCTTTTGGGTTGTTTTTTTGTCAGTTTGTGGTAGTAATGGGTCTCTTTGGTGGTCATTCTTAACTTTTCATCAAGAAAAGAGCTTGCAGTAACTTCTAACAGATACTCAGGAGGCCTGTTCAGTCATCTGTTTAGGTTTTAGAAGCACGCAGTGTGGCACATGTGATTATTATTATTTTGTTGTTTTGTTTCCCATTGTAAAGCGTCCTTGGGTCTCTTGAAAGGCGCTATAAAAATTCAAATTATTATTATTATTATTATTATAACAATATACCGGCTCTTCAGAGGGGCGGATGAGAGGAGGTGTCTTACATAACTCTTTTTGGGCAGGAGTCAGTCATCAGCATGACTTTGCATTTTCTCCACATCTGGATCTTGTTTTGACCCCATTACATAGGCATGCATGGGGCGGGGAAAGGCAGTTCTCAAGAACAGGGTGCTCATTGGTTGATCCTATAACAAGGGGTGTAACACAGACTGGAGGGTTTTAGATGTGAAGAATCATATGGAGCCGCTCATAAATCAAAACTCCTGCTTGGTAGCGCACTGTGAAGTTGCAACATCATTCAGATCATAAGATGATAGTAGCATCAGCGGTGCACCCTAACTTAGAACATATACTGAAGTAGTTTACTTGAGAATAATTTTGAAGTTTAACTTTACTTGACTATTTCTATGTTATGCTACTTCTTCGTCTTCTAGGATCAGACTCACAAGTTACCCAGCAGCTTTTAAAGTCATCCTCCTTAATCGGTAACAATGAAAAGTGTTGAACCAAACAAGCAGTCAATAATTATAATGCAATACTTTAACATATGTTATTCTGAAATGGGGTGTTTAAGAGTATTTCTACACTTTGGTATCACTATTTACTTAGTTAACAGATCTGAGTACTCCCTCCACATCCGAGTAGCATCAGCTCTGTTTATTCAACATATGGTAAGATAACACCTGAGCAACAGTTCAGAAGTGAATGATATTTGAACCTCTTCATCTCTGATTCTTAACCCATCAGGTATCAAAGAAACCTTCTGTTTCACCGCTTCTGGTCAGTGGATGACAAGCAGCTTCAGACAGAGTTCAGCGCCCTGCGCTCCATTGTTGTGGCGAACTACGAGGAGACTGTGAAGATGCCAATCAACGAGCCTGCCATGGGGAAGAGAAAGTCTCAGATCCAGGCATGTTTGGCTCACTTCAGCAAATATGTGGTCTTAAACTGTTTACTTGCACATGAATGATTCAATAACTTGTATATTTCTCCAAATGTTCACTCACAGGAGTATGTGGAGTACTATGGAGGTCCAGGCGTGCAGCATATAGCCATGAACACGTCAGATATCATCACTGCGGTAAGATTAAAGGACACTTTGGCTTTGTGTGTGGATGCATCCCGAAAGAAGCAACAATAACTTTCTGATTAATTTCAATTTGCAGATTCGTAACCTAAAGGAGCGTGGGATGGAGTTTATGTTCGTGCCAGACACGTACTACAAACAGCTGAGAGAGAACCTGAAACAATCAAAGGTCAAAGTCTCAGAGGACCTGGATGTCCTGCAGGTCAGAACACAATTATATTCAACCAGTTTGGAGAACTGAATGAACTTTATGATATTATGTTTGGTCCAGCCCAGGCAATGGTTATATATATTATGTCTGAAAATGATTGAATGTCAGGGGTCAAAAAGCCTCATTCAACAATTAGTCCTGACTATCTATAAACAACTGTAATCAGGGTGTGGGCAACAAAGATAGGAAATGGAAATACCTTGTTTTGTAAACATTCAAATTGAAACTTTTGCACAAGGTTGACACTTTAAATGTAATTTTGGATGGTGCTGACAGATGAAAACAATAAAATCTTTATTTCTATAAAAGGTTTAATAGTACTTAGCAGCAGTTTTGCATAACTGGGTCATGTTGGGAGCTATGTATGTGTTGCTTTAGGGTAATACAATACTTGTTTCACAGCTGAAACAATGTTATTCCTAAAGGCTTGGTGATGCAAAGTGCATTCATAAAATGAAATACATCTTAGTTGTTTAAGAAAAACTTGTTAAGGAAAAATATGATTTTAGATTGGCTGATACTATAATAGGTTTGCTGTGTAGGACATTAGCAAAGTGTCATTGAGCCTTCTCTAATATCTATGGCCATATTTAGTTTTCTCATCTTCATAGACTCATGGCTGTGAGTGTCCACTATCCAGCCTTGCCAAAACAAAATGGATAAATGAATTACAATTCACAATGTGATCTTGTGATCTTACTCACATCAGGAGCTGAGGATCTTGGTGGACTTTGACGAAAACGGCTACTTACTTCAGATCTTCACCAAGCCAGTTCAGGATCGGCCCACTGTGTTCTTGGAGGTCATTCAGAGACACAACCACCAGGTGAGGGCGCCACTGGATAAACAACAACTTTACAAGGCTGAAGAGAATAGCACATATTTCTAGAATGTTTAGGGAATAGGATAAGGACCACATTTTCAGCCTACTGGTTAAACATTTTTATTTGACTTGTGAGTTAAAAGTCATAGGTATTTATTAAACTAAGTATTTTTCTAAGCCAATTCTGAAGTTTATCTCAGACCTTTTTCACTTGTGGCCCTAATTCTTTGTGCACACTATCTGTGTTAGAAACAGGATTCATTAAGTTAGTTAATCAATAACTTAAACACATGATTTTCCCACAGGGCTTTGGTGCAGGAAACTTCAAGTCTCTGTTTGAAGCCATCGAAGCGGACCAGAATGCAAGAGGAAATCTGACGATCCTGACACCAAACGGAGTTTCAAAGAACATCTGATCCTAGTTGTATTAAAGTAGACATTTCAGTTTCAATGTCTATTTACTACAGTATGAGAGGCCATTTTTTGTTTAGGGTCCTGTACTTTAGTATTAAACTAGTATTGTGCAATAATGAACAAAGCATGTTTTTATGACTTGCATATTTTATTATGATAACATAATAACATTTATTTTACATGTGATAAGCATGTGTCAAAAAGTATTTCATTATAATCTCTCTGGATTTTCATGAAAGATCAACTAATTGTAACTTTATCACCATGTAAGGCTTTCTTTTTATCAAATGTTAACAAGGAAATCCATATAAGCTTGACTCAAGCAAAACACAATTAAGCTCTCATAAATGAAAACAAGTAATTTTACAGATTGTTATCATTTTGGCAATAACTTTAAAAGTAATTTCAATGTAACAGAAGAGCTATGCATAATAGGAGCGCCCATTTTCCCCTTAATGTTGCAAGAGGAAACATTTGCAATGTGTGAAACCGTGGTTGTGATGTGTTCATAAACTGTGATGTACAAACAAATGAAGTGTTTTGTAATGTTTTACCAGATAATGAGGAAGTTGTAAGTGCTCCTGTACTCAAGCACTGATTAGGAGGTTTAAATAAATCATTATTTACTGAGCAGTACCTCCACATGTCTGCAGAGCATTCATAAGTTCCTGTTTGGCGTTAAGGCAGTCATTGGTAGAACAAATCAGCATGAAAATAATCTTCAGGGTCTGTGTTTGGATTGTACAGTACCTCAGGCAACTTTGGCTCTTGACATAAATCTGAACACTTCATTAGAGATTAGTTCAAGGTGCCCCGGCAACCATCTGCTCCACACAAGCAAGGGATCTTTGTGTCCTCGATGGGAAACTTGTAGTCGTACGTGATCTCTTCATTGACACCTATTGGCTGCCGGGAGTAAATCACTATCTTCTTCCTGGTCTCCACAGAGATGATCTTTGCATAACAGTTAGGCTGCAAGACAAAAAAGGTATTTTGCATTAATGACCTTACTAAACAAATTGTTACCTTAAGGATTTCTGCAGGTTTCAACAAGATTACTTTAAGACTTTTTAAGACACTATTACAATTTTTTTTGAAAATTATTTGCAGTACCACAACAGAAGAGCACCATATTTAAGATATTTGTATTCCCTGTAATTACAGACCACTAACTTTTAGGCTTTTAAAGGACCAGCAGAAAGCCTATGAACCCCTTTAAAGGGGCTCTATTATGCTCATCTTCAGGTTCATATTTCTATTTTGTGCCTCTACTGTGACATGTTTACATGCTTTGATGTTCAAAAAGGTCTTTATTTTTCACATACTGTGCTGCAGCACCTCTTTTCACCCTCTGTCTGATTGGTTTGCTGGCCGGGTCTGTTGTGATTGGTCAACTGCTTAGAGATGTCCTGTCCCTAAGCCTATCACGTACAATGTGTCGGAGTGTTAGCCAACAGAAGCGCCAGTGTTACATGGTGATGTCACTATTACAGACGTAAACCAAGGAGTAAAATGGAGGCGTTTCAGGCAGGCGGTGATTGTGTGGGAGAGGAAACTCCCTTCGGAGGTAACCACAAAAAACGAAATAACAAACAACAGGAAAGGGAAAAACAAAAAAAGCATAATAGAGCCTCTTCCCCATGGAGTACTGGCTCGTACTCACATTGCAGCTGTGGTTGATAAACCTGGATAGGTTCCCATATTTAGTGGCATCAATGATGGTGTCCTGATCAACCCGGAACAAGTAGCTGCTGCCAATGCCCTCCTCCTCGTACCTCTGCTCCCTCATGTCAGCGATGATCTAAGGAGAGTGAAAACACATGAGCCTTTTCACGAGTGTTCTTAATGACCATTACCGTCAGTCCTCACACTCCTGGAAAGTACCCAGAATAACAGGCGGGTCCCAGGGGGCCACTGGGCCGATTCAGGAGAAACAATCAGGGGGAAAGCGGCTCTCTTGAAAGCTCGACAGAGACATTTGTTACCAAGGGAGCATCATGAGCACATGATTAGCTAGTCTCACCTGTCTGATGATCTGGCCAACATACTCGATCACCATCTCCTCTGCTGCGATCGGCTCCATTGCAAACAGGCCCCAATCATGAATATGACTCCGGCTGAAACGAATCCTCTTCCTTCGGAACTGATTTATTGAGCATGACAAAATGAGACACGTGGCATTCGTTAACACAGGCCACACATCTGCATGCAGGTCATTCAAACTACTTTGTTCTACCTCAGGTAAAAAAAACATCACCACAACAAAGTCTGTTAATCTGGGCAAAGACGCTACTGTTGAGTTTGTTCGTTTTTTTCGAATATCTCAGGCGTAGACTTTTCATTGTTTTGAGCAAAATCACATTAAAAAACACATTCACAAATAGTGTGTAAAGTGAATTGGTGTGGTAGTAGCCATCTCAACTGTGGAAACATCTTGAAACATCTGCAAATACAATGAAACTATCTATATCAAAGTCCTACAACTGGTCAGGTACGAAAAAGTTGTACATACAGTACGTTTCTCACTATTCTGGCACCTTGCACAGCCAGTACAAGATACTTTGTTTACTTTATATATATATATATATATATATATATATATATATATATATAAGCATATGGGGAAATGCTGTTGTAATTACAAAGTTACATATAAACACAAACAGTGCCTGATGAGATTTAATCAAATGTATATTCAACAGACCTCGGTTGTGACACTGATGAAAGACTATTCAATTGTGTTCTTTGTATTTAGACTAAAAGTATGCCAATAGTTACTACAGGTACATTTTTATAAAATGATTTTGGCATCAAGGTTTTCCCAAGTGATTTTGTCTGAACCTTTAATGTACTTACCTTCAGCTGGTTGAACTTGACTAGGTCACTATCACAGCTGAAAGAGGAGAGCAGGCGACGCTGTTCAGACCTGAAGTCAGATCCGGCTCGCAGTGAGGTCTGTTGCTGGGCAGGGATGTTCGTTCCCTGAAACACATGTTGACATTAAGCATTGACTCTAATAAACTGGGCAATGAGATCATCCCAGTTTCCTCTGGTTGATACCTGTGTGCTTGTAGATGGAAGCTCAGGGTTCAGCTTTGAGTGGTTGATGTATTTCATTTTGTCTTTCTTGCTGATTTTGTAGAATCCTTCAGAGCGAGCAGAGCCGGTCCTGTGATTGGGCCACCAGGATCTGTGCTCCTCACTCTGCTCTGCCATGACTTTAGTCAGTGAGCGGTGGTTAAGGAGGTCAATCAGAGAATAAAATGCACTATATTGTGTATCAGGCAAATAAAGTTATCTTAATATATTATTAGTTTGTAAATTCATGTTTCAATAACAAACCTTGCAAGGGATTTGCAACAGTCCTTTACACCCGAGTAGTTTGAAGCTTCATTCACAAAGTTACATTTCATATTCAAAATCAACATTTGAATGCTGCTGAGCTTTGTTTTTTCTTTTTTTCGATTCAAATATATACATACTATTATGGAATTCATTTGTGTATGCTACAGTTTCACATTGGAGATAATCACACCAATTCATACAATATAAGTTACTTAGTTCAGCGACTGTAAACAAGAGTTACAATTAGTAGACTAATCAATTAAGTGTATGTAGTGTTATTAAGTGTTCATCTTTTGGTTTTAGACTGGAAACCTAAGAAACTGGAGACAATTTTCTTACATCTTATAAACCCAGTGATAATAATAATTGGCTGATTAACTGATAATACAAAAATATTTTAGATGCAATCCTAAAGTAACTCAATTGGATGTTATTCAATTTCAACATTAAAGTTGGTTAAAAAGGATATAAGTGTGAGGTATCCACAGAGTGTCACTGATCCACCCGAAGCCATTATCCCGCGCCTGCAGCCTGTCGTATGTCCGCTGCAGCAGCCTGGCGTCTTCTTCATCCAGACCCTCCTTCCAAACACTATGAAGTATCCTCCTCTCCTCAGAGAGAGAGCGCCACCTGTCAGAAGCGATGTTAGAGGGGAGAGAACCAGAGTCTCTTTTAAGAAGTCTTCTCCGATGAAGAATTCTCCACCTCCTCTTTCGCTTCCTCCACTCCTTTCTCCTTAATAAGGATTTGTCCGTCTCTCTACTATTCTCCTCATCAAGGAGCCCAGGCATATTCTCCAGGCCCTGCAAAGGCCTCATTCTCACACCTGAACTGACCCACATGCTTTTCCCTTGAGCGGAGTCAGAAGAAGACTCAGAGGAGCTGCATGGAGAGGACACTGAGATGGGGGAGCCTCCGAGAGAATCGTAAAACATTGGCTGTAAGTTCGTCACCATTTTTCTCTTGTGGACTATGGATCTCCGGGGTAGGATGATGTCCCTCCCAGGAGTCTTTGGGGCTGTGATATACGGATTGCTAGAAAGGGGGCTGCTAAGATGGGGGCACATCACTGTGTTACCTTCTGACGAGGTGGTCTCTCTGCCTGGTGTAGCTGGAGCTCTCACAGAGCTGTACTGAGTCCATGCTCGTCTATCCTCGCAATCAGGCGTGTTGGGCATATCCTGGTATAAAGGGTACAAAGCAAGTGGAGAAAAAACGACCTTGGTGGCTGTTGGAGAAAGCACTTCATTGGTAGATTCCTCACTTTCCAGTCCGGCCACTATGCCCTTGCCTGGTGTTTGGGGTCGTTCTTCCTCCACAGCGGGGGATGTGGGTTTGCTCCTCATCAGAAGGTCAGGGTCGCTGTCCACCAGGCAGCCAGTGGGAGTCAGAGGCCTCAGGTTTTCTCTGTTCCCCGGTGACTCCTCCATCCACTGAGGGCTCTCCATCTCTACGTCAAGATGTTGACGCACAAGTATAACAATAAAATATTAGAAAAACATATTTTCACCAACATTTCCTTGGAACAAATGTCTAAAAAGGGCCCAATGGGAAAAGGCACAAGACGTGCAGGGGACCATTTGCTGAAGCGCACGGTCTCTTGGATGTCTTTGTTTAAAAGTCACATTTCTTGTTGGGAAGTCCACCAAACCACAGAGACACACAGAAGGACCTCAAAAAGAAGCAAAACAACCAAAGACACTATAAAGAGAAAATCACCAGGAAGAGAAACACTTTACCAAAAGGTGAAGCAGAAAGAAAGGGATGCAAAATGACCACAGAGAGACACACAACACTCAAACTGTTCAACCTGGGAGTCCTGTAGGTGAGAGGGGCTGTAGATGGTCCGGGGGTTCGCTGGCTTGGAGCTCCATCATGTCCTCCAGACAGGACGGGAACTGGTTCTCCTCTCCTTTCTCCCAGTGATATGGATCTGGCCATTCCTGCAGCTCCAGCTCCAGCTTGGCACCAGGGGTCAGCGGGGCCAAGGGGGTGGCGGGGGGCTCAAGCTCCATCGACTCTTCATCTGACGATATGGAGATACACTCAACTCTTCTGTCGCCCTCCTCCTCCTCCATGTCTTCATCTTCAGGACTGAGTTCAGAGTAGGACGAGTCCTCGAAGCTCCCAGAGGAGAACGAGTCCGAGGAGTCGAAGTCTGACGAGAACTCACTGTCCTCTGAGGAGCTGCTCTCTGAGAAAGTCTCTATAATTGAACAAAAAGAACCACAAATATTTATACATGTCATTATTCGTGAGATGTTCAATGTTACAACTGTATGATGTTTAACGTACCGCTATCCAAGCTCGCCACTGCTTCACTAGCTTGGAAGATGACTGCATCTTCATCTTCTGTGTGTTTCTGTGCGGACTCCTTCTCTTCCTCAGGATGATTGCTGTCCTCATCATCATCATCATCATCATCTCTGTCACACTACAGTAGAGCACAAGTTCAATTATCCATTCTTTCACACTTTAAAGCTGACAGCACATGTATAACTTTTATAGATTCTAGTTGTAAGGGGAGTATGAACAACTTCTCAATTTGTTGTGACCCCTGACTGCATATTTCCAGCTGTTTATCGAAATTCATGTAAGATATTTATTTCAAGTTAGGATTCAATCAACTTGATAGCAAAATGTTCAAATAAAAACTAACAACTGGCTTTAAAGTCTTGGCTTTTCTTTTTGCAATCTCACTATAAGTTTCGGAGCAAAATGTATATTTACCAGGATTTGAGGATCATCGTGAACTCGCACAACCGCCTCCAATTTATCTGATGTTGTTTCCCCATCTTGAAGTGTGTTATCTTCGTCTTTCCCTTCATCATCATCATCGTCACTTTCAAGCTCATGTGGTCTTGCATGTCTGCGTTTGGCTCTCTCAGATGCCAAACTCCCTTTGTCCTCCCCCTGTTTCACATCTACATGCAAAGAGAGCAACGGACAGAATTAAGCTACAGTCCATATAAATGACTTCATCAATTGTAAATGAGGGTTAATCGCGTTAAAAGCACTCACCAGAGCTTTCATGAGTAGAACACAACACATGTTCTATCTCTTCTGATGTAACAGTATCATCTGCTCTTTTCCTTTTTACCTGTATGATCAAATTGTATTTTATTACATCAAGTCATGCACGCTCAGAGGTCAAACGCTGGCATATTTCACATCATATAAAGCACAATAGCATACCTTGAATGAAGGCAGTGGAGGTTTTTTGCCCTGGCCACTGATGTGACAGAGGGGATTTATAAGTTTGCTCCTTTCTTCAATACTTGTTGCTCCACTTTTCAAAGGAGAAACGTGTATCTTATGAAAGAAAAACAATAACAATGAACATACTGTCTCTAAAAGGACACATTTATGTATTTATTCATGCTGTTTCATCAACCATTTTATGAGATAACAGATGAAAGATAAAGAACTTACCTTTACTTTCTTCTCTTGACATACCCACCAGTCCTCAAATGCCTTGAAAGCGACCCCTTCAATCATTCGGCGTGTAAGATCCTTCCTAATAATCGACTTCAGTTCATCCATGATGACTTCTAAAACCTTTTCCACCGTGGCCTTATGTGGGTTTTCCCGCACAAGCAGGAAGTCTGGTGGTGGCACAAAGGGGTTAAACCTGGGGAAAGGTGGAAGAGGCCATGGAGGTCGAGGGAAATGCAAAGGAGTGGTTGGAGGATTCCCCTTATCTAAAGTGCCTGGAGGATGAACAGGTAAGGGGTACCTGTACACAGGAGGTGGGGGTCCAAGGAAGGTTGGTGGTGGAGGAATAGAAGATGGAGGTGGAAAACCGGGAGGAGGAATAGAGATGCCGGGGTGATGGCCCCGAGGAGGGATCCAACCTGGAGGTGGGATGGGGATGGTGCCATTAGGCAGGCGAGGTGGGATAGATGGGATAGATGGGGGAAAGGGAGGAAGGGGGAAAGGGAAACGGGTGGCTGGTGGATGGGGGCACCCTGATTTAAAAGCAGGAGGAGCTTTGGAGGAGGGGGGTTGAGTGTTGCTATTGAGAGAAAAGGATGGAGGCTGAGGGAGAAGGATCTGTCTGGCTGGCGTTGAAGCTCTGAACGCTCTTTTATTCGAGTAATCCTTATTCGAGTAATCCTTATTCGAGTAATCCTTATTCGAGTAATCCTTATTCGAATGACGCTCCTAAGACACAAAATAATCAGTTTTAAGTCGTTTTCAGGACTCTAAAATAAAACGGAGATACCAACAACTACTACCACTTTTGATAGTAAAATGCCTAGTTTAAACAAAACAGGAATTATCATGTGAAAACAAACAAATTCACACAATGTTAATTTTTTTAAATGATCATGAACTTATCTTTTAGGACATTATCTTCCATTATGACCTTGTTTAAGAATGTTTGAGGAGTAATTACCTTTGAACGTGAGAATAACTGCAACCTTTCTGCCTCTTTTTTGTGGTTTACGTGAGCCCTCCTTTCAAAACGTGTGAAATCAGATGGAGGCTGAGAGTCTCTTGTTAGAAACAAAACAGCTTGAGTGGTTTCATCTGGCTCATCTTCAATGAGGTCATTGAAGGAGCGCTGATCTATCGTTGTGAAGTCACATGAAGTTGGAGTGCGAACAGGTGAGTCATCTGAGAAAGGGGAGGCGTTAGGGGAGCAAGGTGAGGTCGGGCTGTCCTGAGAGTGAACATCAGCCTCCAAAGAGTTTCTATAGAAGTAGGACGGGTCAGTACTCTGGCTGTTTATCAGCAAACTCTCAATACGAGAGTCCAAACTCTCCACCTCAGGCCTGGGGCTTGAAGAAGAGTTACCAGCAGTTTGGGGTAGTTCTGTAATGCGTGCATGGTCATCAGATGGAAAGGAAGCTGCTGTCTGATATTCAGATGTGAAATTAATGCTCAGCATACTTAAAGAGTTGGAGCTTCTATCAAAATCCTTAGAGGTAGCAGTGACCACAGCTCTGGACTCCTGACTGGGAGACTTAAAGTTAAAGGAAGCATTACTGTGATTGGAGGATTGTGCATTGTGCCCCCACAGTGCTAACTCTTGGCTGCTAGATTGTTTTGTGGTAGAATAAGATTCTGCTAGCTGGGGTTGGCATTGCCTCAAAATGAAGTTCACATCTGAGACTTCGCCGGATCCTCTGCAATACCTCTCAGTCTTACGACGCCAGAGCTCTCGTCTTAAAAGTTTGTGATCACTAAAGGTGGAGGGCTCCCCCTGGAGGACTGGAGTCGCCTGAAGACTGGAGTAGCAGGAGTCCTGGGACAGAGGAGTGGCAGACAGGCAGGGAGTGCGGGGGGTTCCCTGGGAATGTGGTGTTAGCCTGAAGCTGCAAGGTGTATCCTGCCAAATACTGGAGTAGGCTGTGTCCAGAGAGAAGGGGGTGGCGATGCTGGTGGGACTGGAGATGCTCAGATGTGTCTGTGTGGCTGCGCTGCTCTGTAAGAGATAACAAGATAACACATGAGTTATATTGTCCATAAAAACGTATTAGTTCAACAGCTGGTTTATAAATATTGAATGTATTCAATATTCATAAACCAGAACAAAAATGAAAGCAGACCAAAACATTTATATATCATATTCATTTCATATATATAAATCCTTTAAAAATAAATGTTCACAAAAAGAACATGGAATTATTTTTGATATATATTAATTAGTATTAATTCAAAGTTTTTTTGATAGGACATGATTTGTCCCAATTCTCAAGAATGGGTGATATACGATTACTTCACGATTATAAATGGGTCTGTTGTGTGAGTTGTAGCAAATCAAAAATGGGTTTCATTTTTTGATTTACTGTCCTGTCTATGAAAACATGCACCTCTTAGTTAAATGACCTCAATTGATGTTGATTTCCTTTGGATGGATGACTGAAAACATTTGAGGTGTGCTTGAGGAAACAGAGCAGAGTTTACCTGCCAAGTTTGGGTATAGAAAGCAAAAGTATTAAGTTTAAAACTAATCTGAAAAATAACCTGTGATTTTGAAAGTGAATTAAAGGTTTGACCACTGGAACTGTATCTTTGGTATCTTGTAAACCTTTGAGGGTTAAGTGCTTTGTGTGTATAGCAGGAAAATAAATAAATAAATGAATCAATCATAAGCAGCTTAAACAGTTTACCAGCAAACCCTCGACTAAGCTTTGAATAGCTTGCTCATTGCTGCCCACTGGCAGCGTCCAAGGAGTATAAAGCCCCTGTAAGAGGAGCTGGAGATATCGCGTCCTGTTTTCACCTGAGGAAGGTTGCATATTGTAATTAGTCAACAAACTCAAAGAGATTCAAATGTTTAATTACAATTCATACAAATATGAGGTAGTTCTAAAGTCAGTCGTACCTTTAGGATCAATTTCCACATGAATAACATTTCCCATCACTGAGGTCTGATGGAGGTGCTGGACAGCTTCGTTTGCAGCCCTCACTGTGTCGAAGACGACCTTTGCAATCCCCAAATGCTTCTTGTTCTTAGGATTGTAAAATATTTCCACTTCTTCGATGTTCCCATATTTATTGCACATATTAGTCAAGAACGCCTTCCTCACATTGTCATTCAGCCTGGAAATTGTCACTTCTTTGGGAGGAACGGGGCCAACATACCATTCATCAACCTGAAAGGACATAGGTAAACGAGAGCTCCCATTATTGTCATGTTTACTATTACTATAATAACTATCATGCTCATAATGAAGATTACCTTAAATTTAGAAATCAAAAGGTCAGTCTTGTTGCATTTGCTCCACAGGCGGCAGACACGGGGATCTCTGACTGTCCCTACAGGAAACAGACCTAAATCCGCCACCTGTTGAAGTAAACAACATCCATCAATATAATGTGGGGGGAGAAGTATTACGTTATTTTCATTCAATGAAAGTAGCAGTTACACACAAAAAAGGACTCTGATACAAGCATTAATAACATTACAAAAATAATCTTCAAGTATAAAATTGTAGTACTATCAACGCACTGGGATTGGCTCTGGCTGTGTTAATTACTCATAAATTATACTATTAGATTATTGATATGAATGCAAGCAGCATTCAAACATTGTAGCTTACTAAGGTAGTCTTGAGCTAATAATTTGCTGCTTCTATTTATATACTCAGAGGTTGCTTCATTTGAATAGTTTAACAACTGAATAGTATTTTACAAGAATATTTGTATTAATTGTTCTTAATGTAATCCTAATGTGCAAAGTAACTGAAACAGTAGAATACAAATGTTAAAATGGAGTAATAAGCACAATAGAGCAATATTTACTTCTAGATTGAAGTAGAAGTATAAAGCAGCAGAAAATTCAAAATATTAATATCGAAAATGTAAGTACGCTATATAAGTTCACTTTAACTCACTTATCTATTTACATGTATACTCCTGCATTTACTTGGTCACTTACAACATTCTCTGCATTATTTAGCTTGTTGTAGTTATTTTTTTATTTTTCTGAGACATATATAGTTTATTTCATCTGCATTACTTGCACATTGGTCTGCAACATAATATGCACTTTTTTATTCTAATCTATACCACTCTTGTTTTTCTTGCACAGCTACGTGCATATGACAATAAAGCCTTTGAATCTTTGATAATAGAAACAAAGGCAATGCTTGTTTTGATCAATATAGGAAACAGGCGACAACACAAATATATGTATAAATGCTCACGGGTATGTTAAATTGCTGTCCATCGTAACGATACACTTTGTGCAGTCCTTTCGTCAATGCAGGGTCAATAATCAACTTGCAGCTTCTCCAGAACTGAGGCGGTGTCTCTCTCTCAGTAGTTTGTTTTTCGCTTTCCATTACATTCGTCAACACCTGGAAATAAAAGATTATAAACACCGTATCATTTAGCATGATAAACAGAGCTGCTTACATCAGTCCGCCACTGGAGCTTAACACGCCCCAACAGGTGATGGAGAGCATCACCTGTAACGTTATCCTTTTCAAACAGATTGTGACATGAAACGTGATCAAATACTCAAAGTTAAGTCGACCAATAATATGCTTTATCTCGCTTACCTGTAACTACAAAGGTTATATCCTTTGGTGGAGCAACATTGTGGAAAAGCTGTTGGGATCTTCGGTTGTTTTTACAGTTCGTCGCCCAGGTGGATAGAAGATCAATCCGCCAAGAGACAGAGACGGAATATAGATCCATCGGTGAGGCGGAAGGATTTAGATGGGTTGGAGGTGTGAACAGGTGTGAGGTGTGTTTCTATAAACCTTAATAATACATGTTCATAATTATAATATGTATTCATAAGTTATGAATACAGCCTATGACTTACTAACAATCAAACACAAATCGAATAATATGACAAAATATAAAAAGTTAATGTAAAATATAAATGTTAATCAGATGTAAATCAGGGGACTCCGAATAGAGCATGATAAATGGATCATTCATTTAAAGTTTAAAGAAAGTATTGAGTATTACACATTATCAGTGTAATGGCATTAATAATCCAGTTATAAAACATCCTTACAGAGATGTTATTGTGAAAATGTATAACTGATCCTACAATAATAAGAAAGAGCATAAATTAAAAAAAAGTCTTTACAAGCATTCTTATGTATGTTCATTTTATTCTTATCTTTTTTGTATTGCTTGATTGTGCTTTTCCTCAAGTATGCAAAGCTTCTTTGGTAATGATGACTAGGGCTATATAAATCTGATGTATTATTTTTGACTTTTTTTAATAGTGACTATTAATGTGTAATCATTGGATATAACAAATATTTTTTTCACAATCATTTTTTGGGAGTAAAACTCCATTGTAACAGGGAGAAGAGAACAGAAGAGAAGGAAAATCGGGTTGGAAAATCGATGCTGTGCTATATTTAGCACAGGCGAATGCAGGGAAGATGTGGACTACTTGTTCAGAGAAACAACAAAACGTGCACTAATAGAGAAAGGATTGTCAGAAAAAGTCAGCAAGCGGAGGAGTGTGTGTGCTTTGACTGAGTGTCAGCTATCTCAAACTGTATGTGTGGTTTTCCTTTTGGTTTTTCATAGACCAAAATACTATTTATGCAATACATGTCTAGTTTTCCTTGTTTGTTTTATCCAGGCATTTTTGTAAATGTAAAAAACTGTATTAAAAAAATTCAAACAAAACTCAAATTATCGCAGATGTGTTTTATTCTCGAACCGGCAACAAAAACAAAGTCCTTCTGACTCAAGTTTAAAACACCAGATATATGCAAAACTTACAATACAGTATTTGCTGAAAGAAAAATCCCTTTAAAAGCTGTGCATCGACACAAACAGTGGAACCTCTCTATATACATTGATATGGATTAAATAAATAAACCAGCAAAATGACCCACAGAAGAAAATGCCTTCATTTGCATTGATCTGTGGTAATTCCTTTCAGAAGTGTCCAGAGAGTGTGAGGTTATCTGGATAAAACCTTCTTTATATATTTCATTGTGTGAAAATAAACATCAACAGTGATCTTTAAAAAAGGTAACGACCATTTTTCTAAACGTGTGTGTTAGTGATTGACCCCTTTTGGATTCTAGCTCTCTGGTTTGTGTCACGAAGATATTATTATCAGGTGGAAACAATTTCAATGCAAATATTGGGCGCTAGTGATCTACAGAAACATAACCATGACTCAGCACAAACCACGTTTAGATAAATCGGATATTGCAACAATGACCAGAGTTACCTTGGTATAATATCAGTATTTTACAGTTAGCTGCTGGACGACGACAATTAATTTTGTTCATAATACTATTGTATTATGAAAAAAATGAATTGTCGTCCAGCAGCTACAAATATTTGCATATTTCTTCATTTAAGCACTTACTGTGTTTTTGTACCAGCGTTACAGTAGATATAATAAAGAAAAGTATAGAAAATGGTCAAACCCATGTAAAACTATTCAACAATGTGCCACAGGACAAAGACACCACACGCTAATTCACACAATCTGTAACCTAAACAACGAACGAACACACTCAAGCTTGTAAACTATGAAAAGTAAAAAACATACAAACTCTAAAACAACAGTTCCAATATGTGCATGCTTTGTAACAATACATTCAACAATACTTTTAAAGCTAGTTACCATTTATGGATAACAGTATGTTCGCAAAAGCAGCAGGAAATCAAGAAAACTCATCATATTTTGTCCCCTACATTTATTCTACAAGGGTACAAATTAAGAATGCTGGTTTTATTCAATAAACCGTTTTGGATTGTCACTGAACCCGTGCTATAGACATATGTGTACTGCAATAACACCCTTTATTCAGAAGTGGAATTTTGGCTCAGATTACACACACATACTGTTGGGTTGATTTATACAGTAACTATTTGTTTTGTAAAAGATCTAAACTGCTATTTGCTCAAATCTTAAGACTCCAATGCAAACTGATTTTCGAAGCTAGTTTAGCAAATGTACACAATGTACATTGTTCAAGACTAAAACATGTAGTAAAGTTCCCACACGATTCTTATGCTATGATTACATTCTTACTCATTAAACAACCAATTAGTTCAATGAGTATGAATGTTTGTATATAAAAAAACGTTTTAAAACATGCAAGTTGTTCCATAATTTCGGTTTTAAAGCATGTATACAGTGATTCAAATCAAACTGATATTTCAGTCAGATAACTCAAACCTTGATTTTGAACGTCTGCATTGAAAATAAAGGTCTGGTAATGCTCTCTACAAAGCCTAATTTAAAGCCAGACAAATGTGAGAACATGTGAAATCAATGCAACCCACCATGGGACAATATAAAGGCCACAGGTGCATGCAGCAGTGGTGGTGAGTCACTCAGTGTGTCTACCCGCAGCAGCACAGATTAAACCGTGGCAGCTCAAATAGACCATTGAAAGGAGCAGGACTATCATTTTATACCAGGCTTCAACAAAGGCTTTTTATGTTTTACATGAATATTGAAAGAAAAGTTGCAAGGTTCAAGAGGTTTGATCCCATTCCCTGCTGTCAACATGTCAGAGCGTCTTTGGGCAAGATACTTCACCCTGAAATGCTCAATGGTTTGTGAACACAAAAAAGCATTTGTGCACAGTTATACATAACAAATAAAGCTTTTATAAGATTATTTCACAATAAAAGGCATTGTTGAATGTCTGCTGCTGTAGCGTGCTTAGCGGCTATAATCAAGGATAGTGGATAGTGGCCTTCAGCTCGTCGTTCTCACCCCGATGGTCCAGCTGAGTCTGGAGCTGGATGACCTGCTCCAGCTCTTTGATCTGCCGGTCCGTTTTGTGACTGACCAGAGTGCGGTAAAAGTGGACGGCGAACATGATAAAAACGAGTCCAAACGGCACCATGATGCAGGTGGAAGCGATGGCTGCAGCCTGCCCTGAACTTATAGTGCTGTTCTTCTCGTCGACGCTTCTGAGGGGTAAGAACTTCACCCAGCACAAGAGCATCACCTCTGTGAGGAAGAGGAGGGTGCCGATGACTGTGGAGAAAGCCCAGGCCAACTCTATGTGGCGATGCATGCGCTCGTGGGGAGACTCGTGGACGGAGTTGAGGTTGTGAACATTGCTGACAGCCTCGAGATTCGGGAGGATGCAAGTGCTGACCATGAGGGCGAAGAGGTGGACTGCAACCAGGACTGTGGTGCAGGCACTGAAGGCTATCAGCAGCCCGGGGGGGTACTTATAATCCCGCTCCAGCTGTACCTCCACCATGGCAACCTTGGAAAATCATACAAGAACAATTTATCTTCTCCAATTGATATCTTCATCAGTGAGTAACACAATAGACATCAGTTATATTACTCTACATGTTTTACATAAAAAGTCTAACAGACAACTCTAACCACTGCTTTCTCTTCCCACACAGCAAAGACAGACAGCTGCGTATGTGGATAGAATATAATGTAAAATACAAGTATTTTTAGATACTATTAGTAGTGTGTGGACAAAAGAGTAAACGCAGACTTTACAATAAAGAGATGTACGGGCCCCTGAATGTCATAAGAGCAGGACAACTAAGTAATTGTAACTACATTGCTTAAATACAAATTTGTAAATCAATCATAACATTATACGAGCCACAGATAAGTTGAAGAGGAGCATGGGTTATAGTTGTATGCAGTATTGGTGTGTTTTTGCTGTTTAATACTAGGGGTGTAATACGGTGGCTGAGAGGTGCAATCGACAATTACCTTGCTTGAGACAAATTTACATTAGCAAAACACTTTTACCAAAGAAAATAAGATATAACATTAACAAAATCAAATTAACGAGATGCAAAACACTTTTACAAAGCTAGAGACAAATTTACAAGTGTCGAAACACTTTAACATTTCTCGAAACACTTTAACATTTGCCGAAACACGTAAACAAACTAGAGAATCAAACCGGAAAGGGAATGCCCATCATACCAGAAGTGATTGACACAAACTTAAGTTTGTTTTGGTGGATAGAACGCCGGTACCTATGGACCTTTATGGTCGTTAAACATGTTTTGTCCGTTCTGTGGAAACCACCTGGGCCAAGTGACATGGTTTTGCTCAGCACGATATACTTCCTAGTGCGCAAGAGATACGTTCTCGTGCACACGAGAAAGTTACAGGTTCGCCAAGTAGGAAGTGGAGCCTTTTACACACAGCCTTTGCTGTGTTTACCTTCATTAGACAGCTAAAGAGCGACTGCAGGCTGCTTCGTTATAGCCACACACACCTCTACACACACACACATCGAACTGCCCGATTATTACACCTTATTATTCTATTTATGAAGGAGATGTCCGGTCACCAGGGCGTGCGTGTGCGTGTGTGTGTGTGTGTGTGTGTGTGTGTGTGTGGCTATAACGAAGCAGCCTGTAGTCGCTCTTTAGCTGGCTAATGAATCGTATCTTCTTTGGTAAAAGTGTTTTGCTATGTATGTAATGTAAATTTGTCTCAAGCTTTGTTAAAGTGTTTCACACTTTGTAATTGTCGATTGCACCTCTCAGCCACCGTAGTGTAAGGATATAAAATGAAAGTATTCCTAAAAATTGAATTACAAAAATTGAAGCAAGTGCAAGGGGTATTATATCTTACCTCCCCATTAATACATTTTAGAAACAAGTATGGCTACTTGTCCACTTGTGTTACCTAAATAAGCTAACAATACAAGCTTATGTCAACTTGGTGTTTTCTGTCAATTGAAAACCAAAGGAACAAAGACATTTAAACAACATGGGTGAGTGCTTGTAGTGCTGCTATGCGGTCTACTTGTTGTGGCGGAAGGTTATCCCGCACTGGTATGTTGGCAAGCACAGTGGAGTTTACATAAAGTGTTTTGTTTATCTTGTTCCGTTATTATCATTCCACGACTGCACCGTGAGATACATCTCGTGCACAGGCACACGCATCTCGGAGTATATTTTATTAACTTTTTGTTTTTTTCCAACACTGTCTGTCATTACGGAAATGATAGATGGAAAATATTAAGCTCTGCAACCGTCATTAGGCCTTTAAAGTGACAGCCTTTGAAAACAATCATCTGCGTCACATAACGTGCGGCTGTGTGTCTGCAGTACATGCCGATGGCCTAAAGTTGAGTTTGCATTAGCGCAGTAATACTCTGTAACAACAATAAGTTAAATCAATGATAACTTACCATTGCGAATCCGGACAAAAGAGCAGAAGTGCGACTCGTGGCTTTTAACTTTGCTCGACTCAAGTACAGTTTTCTCCATGACAGAGCCTGCAAGGAGTGCTCGTTCAAACTCATTCCGAAAAGTTACTTCCCCGGTGAACTTTTACAAATTAAAGATATCAACCGAAGTGATTTACTGGATGGAAGTCGATGAAGTACACCGACGAAAAGCACACGCTGGGAATTTGCTTCAGATGAGGTAAAACATCTAATAAACACTAGATAGTACAGAAAGCTATCAAACTATGTCAAAACTTTCCTGCAACAGCTGACCGACTGTCAGGGTCTATCAGGAAACACAAGATACCCACAATCCACTGCGGTAGTCCGCCTCCTTGCGCCAGAAATTCATTATGGAGCTCTTGTTTTTAGATAACATATTGTTATCATAAACCCATCCGCTCATCTGCTTTTCTGCATATTTTAGTGGCATGTGTTTTTCTTTCCCTTTTCCACTCATTATTCATTTCATAAAACATGGAAACATTAACAGCATGTGTATACAAAGCTATGAAAGCCCATTTCCGCCATAGACTGTACACTGCGATGAAAAACAGATCTTCAAAAAAAGTATAAAGGCTTATTATAGGCGTCATTTTCGCTGGGGACGCTGGGGACATGTCCCCACCACTTTTTGAAACGGACAATTTTGGCCCCACTACTTTTTAAAAGTTTCACTTACAAATGTTCTGAAAAATAGCGTTCACAAAGAAATGTAATAATTTAAAGAACACTGGTTTAGTGTCAAGATGTGCAATTTGGACATGTTAGTAAACTTTAATAGAAAATGTAAAAAAAAAAACGTTCCTCCTTACTCTACTACTCAAGTCAATCAAAGTTCATTTGTAAGTGAAAATATGTATACATTCATTCATTTATTTCCATATTTATAAATGTTTTCTTGTATTTATTTATTTGTGTATTTATTTCCACATTTATTTATTTCTGGGTTTCTTTCACATTTATTTATTCTTGTATGTATTTATTCCTGTATTTATTTCTACATTTATTTTTTTTCACATTTATTTATTCTTGTATTTGTGTATTCCTGTATTTATTCATGTTTTTTTTACTTATGTCATGTTCTGTCCTCCATACCTACAAATGCACATCACAGCAAGACCTATAGTTGGGTGTTCAACATTTTAAAACACATTGGTGGTCCGGTGGTCCAGAGGTCCATGCATTGGATTATCATGCAGGTGCTCAAGGTTCAGCAGGAGAAGGACATATTTTGTCTTCTGCTATGCTGATGTTAAATCTGGAGAAAATGTCCCCAACACTTTTTCGAACAACGTGACGCCCATTTCTATACAACAGCTATAGCTTAGTTTTGGCAAAAGCTTTAGTCTCTGGCTCCTTCAACAATGGAGCAGATACAAAAAAATTAAAATACATAAAAAAGTTCAAGAAAAAAGTGCAAAGAATTTTTTTTATGTAAATACAACAATTACTCGATATTAGTTTTTTCAAAAATAATAATCAAAAAAGTAATTTAACCTATAGGCTATTTCAAAACGATGACTTGGTTTCTAAAATTAAGGAAAAAACGTTCTCAATTGTATTACTTTGTATCTCACAATAATGACGTATTTGTGTTGTGATGCTGCTGCAGCACAGGAGAAAGTTTAAATAATCCGTCACTTGTGTTTGTGAGGATGTTTGCAGTGTTGAGTTCACACTTCTGACCAATGTGGAATGAATAGAGGGTGTAGCATAGCAGCCCTCCACCACCTGAGGGCAGCAAGCACAACACATCAGTAAATGACTCATAGCCATAAATCTATTATTAAAAAAAGAGAGTGTCACAGTCCTAATGCATCATACTCTATTTGCTTAAGTAGATCTTCAATCTGTTTGCAGTACACCTGCTGTTGAATAAAAACATATATAAACTATATTAATGTCCATTGGTAATCAAAAAACTAAACTTTGTAAAAAGAAAACACAACAAATTGTGAATGAATGATAAATAGTTTAGTGCAATAAAAACAGCATTCATCGGCATGTAGCAGCATATCCTTATTTCTGAGAGACGATTAAAATGTGTCGAGTTATATAACCTAGGTAAAATAATACAAAACCAGTGTAGAGAACTTCCCTGGTGTTGGATCAGTAGAATACATTACACAATTCACAGTGAAATCAAAATACACAGTCAAATAATGCCAAATATATCTGCCAATACCTGATATTGCATGCATTTGTCCACCACTTCATGCTACCACTGGATGATGCCAAAGAGAGATGTTTATCTATATATATAATGGCCTCACATGATTATTATATCATACAGTCTAAGCCAGAGACACGTTTGGTGTTTGTATGGAGCTCTACCCTACACTGGATCTAATATAAAGCAATATGTTTAGGTGAAATGGCCAGCTTTCCCTTTTAATTTATTTAAGACATCAGATCAACATAGTGAGTGGTAATTGTAAATGTTTAATACATAAATAGTCCCTCAAATAAGGGGAAACTATATGTATTGGGCAGATTAACCAAATGATAATATAAAATCATATCTGCTAGCAAATCTTGAACAATAAAACGATGTTGACACTTACAATGTGATATCTTTAATCAGGTTGTGCTGATTATATGAGGTTAATTACTTAACCTGTCAAAAACCATTGCATTGTTTGGTCATTAAGCTACAACATTTAGGACATTGTAATCATCATTACTAACACCAAACCTATAATACATAATGGTAAATAAACTATTTCGAATGCCTTATTTTTACCTGTATAGCTAGACTCACACATCCCGCAAAAACCAGTAGAAGCGAAGACGGAGGTGTGTGGGAGTGAATCATCTTGTGTTGCCTGCTGATCTCCATTTCCTGTTGCATTGATGCTGCTATCACGTCGCTCGTTTATCATCATTGCGAGATGCCATGCAGCGTCAAAAATATGCATATCTTACTTATATTGCTTTATAATCACTATTTTACATTCCCAACATGTGTTCAATCACTTTAGTCTGCCTTCTAATTTTCGACCGCCTGTTTTTCGCTAACCAGAATGCTGTTAGCTAAGTAGGAAGTCGGTGTTCCCCACGTTTCCCATGGTTCCTGAACGCAGCACAGTGAACATTGCTAGCAGCTGCCTGTTTGAGGGAGGGGTGAATGAGTTGAGCTGCAGGAAGCTTGTTCAGCCATGTTAGTTTTCTCTGGTGTTCACAAACGATGAGAGAGAGGAGCCATGGCCTTGTCACTGAGCGGAGACGATGAGGAATATGATTCAGAGTCTGAGCAGGTCAGAGCTCCCACATTTCATTATGTCACCTCCGTTTGTATACGTGTGTGTTTTTGTCAAAACGTGCGGTGAGAGAGAAAGGTTTTTGCGAGTGGAAATGTGTTTTCTTCTGTAGCTTCAGGTTACCCGCTGTTCTCCTCAGTATCGAGTTGAAATGTGTCCTTTTATAACCTTTCTAAGGTTATACGGTTTAATACTCAGTTAATGTTATGTAAACATGGTTAAATACAGTCGGGCTGCTTATTGGGATTGATACCCTGTCTGTCCACACATACACACACAGCGTGTCCTCTCCTCCTTGGACAACATCTATCACGTTAGCCAAAACTGACCCATTTTGTACTGACCACCTCTTAATACAGAGTTTCATCCTCTTATGTTATACACGTGTGGACAACATCTTCAATCTATCTGAAAAGCCTTGCATGTACACGCTGTGATTTACACAATGTACTCTAATCCCACATGCCCGGTTAGGGAAAAAAATGCATACTTGTGATTGATTTCCTCACACTTCCTAAAGTTACCCCTCTCACTCTGTGCCTTTAAGAAGGCTTTATGCTCAATGTTGTCTAGCAGAGGCGGGGGGATGGGGTGAGGGAACAATGAAGGGGCTCTGCTACTTCTGTTGTGGTTCCCAAACTGGGGTCCAGTGACCCCTCAAACCCCTGGCTGGAATAAGGCATGGTTTGACTTAAACTGTTGTTGTTTTTTAGGCCACTTGTTTTGCACCAGGAGGAGGAAAATACAGCACTGGAGTTTTTTAAATCAGATATTACACTCTGTTTTCTGAGGTTCTTTAGGAAAAAGTTTTTATTTGTAGGCCTGTCATAACAACTACTTTTGTTGCAGGATATATTGCCCCAGATATGATTTCGATAAACAGAATTATTGCCATTTTAAGACTATCTTATGACAATTATATAATAACATAATAAAGCAAGTACACTCTTTCACATAGCATGAACTTGTATTTCTTATATATTTAGACATCCTATTGAGAGAATACATAATATCCTATATAAATGAAGCATGAATAATTCATACTACACAACTAAAACAATACATATAATGCACTCTGGCTCTGTTACAGAAACATGCACTTAAACAATATTAAACAGATGGCACATGGGGGAATAGAGAGCAACACTGAGGTCTTCTAATGAAAGGGGAAACCCTGGTGTTTATTCTGGCATCGTGTGCTTTCAAATATTGCTGACATTTTTAGGGTAAACAAAATCAAACTTAAAAACAACAGCCAATGATGAGGTCAGCAAAAGTAAATGAGAATATTTAATTGTATTGTACGATAATGTTATTATTGCGACATGCCTATTCATTTGTGGTAGGAAGTGTGTGTGTGTAATTTGGGCATGAATGCTTTCTAACAGTGATATTGCACAAGTCTCCATTAGACACTTGGCCTTCACAACGGAGCAGAAATATGAGAGGTGCTGACATAAGAGCCAGGTCCTGCTGCTTACACAATGTTTACACATACAGCACCCAATAACAGCTCTTCAGAGGCGGTGTTTTGGCCTCTTCGGACATGGTGTTGAAGACAGCCACACTCACTTTTTGTTTTGTTTTGAGGACAACCAATAGATGAGCCTTGTGACTGATTTCCTCTGAAATCCATGCTGAAGCTGAGTCACAAAACCACGCTCACACCAGAATACAAGCCATGTTTTTTCTTCCCACACCTCAGGAAGCAATCCCAAATTCCTGACATATTACTGCACAGAGTTACAGTAAAGACGAGGTCAGCTGATAGTTGCTTTGGCAGCCGTGCTCTGCAAAGTGCACAGATTTGTTTTTAGCTTTATGCTACATATTTACTTTAATTAGAGTAAAGTAGCAAGGTGGATGTGTGAGATCTCCAGAGAATTTTTTTACAATTATGAAATGATACATTTTTGCATCTCCTTTAACACTGTCATTTAAATGGCTTTGTTTAGAGGCTCACTTAAGAAATGATATTACAAAAAAGCCGTTGTGTCAGACAAGGTCAGGATTCAGGAACATAATATGGCAGCAGAACAACAAAAAAAACATTGTGTGATGTTGACAGTCGCCCTGCAGCTGCAGCCACTCCTCTGATGCTTCCCTCCCATATTTCCACAGGAGTCAGATACATTCATGGCAACATGCCAGGAGAGATCATTCAATCAAAACATACCATTTAAAAGAATCTCATGATAAGATTAAAAAAGAAATATAATTTAAAAGTCCTTCTGATGGAAAAATACAAAAGCATCCACGTCCAGGTGATTTATAGTAAGTTCGATACAGAGGAGCATTTAAAAGATGGAAAATTAGTGTCAGCGCATTTAATTATCCTCTGATTTATTTTCCTGCACCTTCTGCAGTATGCTCTGTTGCATTACTGTATTAACAAATGTCATTATTGTTTTACGTTTATAATAACTATATATGTATCTGTGGGTACATTTGAACTGTGTTCAGCTTTATTGTTCTTGTGATTAGCTGTATGTGTATTTCTGATTACATTGAAGGCAACAATGTATACATTACGTTTTATTTTGTAGACGCTTTTATCCAAACCACCAACAATACCTGCAACTGACCATGAGGTTGCAAAGTAACAGCAAGACTCTTGCATGTTCATTTACTTTAAAGGTGCCCTATTATGCTTTTTTGGAGTTTTCCTTTTGTTATAGTGTGTTGTTTAGGTTTTTGTGCATGTAAATGGTCTGCAGAGGCTAAAATCCCAAAGTTCCCTCCAGAGGGAGTCTCTCTCCCACGCTCCCCCCTAGCGCTCCAACACAAACCTTTAAAAGTGAATCATACAGAAATGAGAATGGTTTCTTTTTCTGCTTGTTGTTTCCTTATATGTGTGCACACTTAATTCTCTTGTCTCTACCTAATATCACTCGGAAAGCATTAGTGTAAATTGTCGTTAGACCGGTGTGTTTTATTTCCATCTTGTTTTACCTGTTTTACCTGATATCACTCTCGCATTAACAATAAATAATGGTGTGCTGAAATGCAGTGTTGGTAATAAGTGATTAAATCCTGCAGTAAAGCCTCCCGCTGAGAGCTTATTTTTATCATCTCTTGCAGTCGTCTTTTCAAACAGATTGCCCCCAGCAAGGCAAACGTGTTGCCTAGGTAACCTCTCTTGCTAGAACAAGACTCGCTGTAATGGTCTGCGATTTGTCTTATTTTCATAGTCCTGCCATGGCAACAGGGAAGAGTCTAAAAATAAAATGTGAGAAATGCACAAACGTGATATTATGAGCAGAGATCCGAAGCTGAGTGCAGAGCGGTTTAATCACCACGCTACCCTTTATTTCATTTCTTTCACTCCCATGAGTCACACTCAGCAGTATGCATGTTTGCAATTTACCAGAGAGGTCGGAGCTGTTGGAGAGGAGCACTTTGATTATATAAAAGGATGGTTAGGATCGTATAACCTGTGCAATCAATTCATTTAATGTAACCATCTCTCAAAGAAAGGGCTGAAACAATTTATTGAGTCAATTAACAGAAAAGTCCTCCTGCTTTTCAAATGTAAAGACTTTCCGCTAATCTCTTATTTATATCATTTTTAAATGTAAGACTACCTGAAAAACAAAAATGAATTTAATGTTGTTTCCCTGTACTCTGCAAAATTGTGATTGTGGCTGTTCTTCACATTTCTTTTGTGGCATTTTATAAACTAAACAATGAATTAATTGTCAAGAAAGTGATGTCCTTTGTATGATGTCTTGTACAAAAGCACAATAAAAAAATGTAACCAACAGAGCGGTAGGGAATGAAAGTCCTTTTTAAGTTCTACAGATATAATTTACGTCACCTTAATGCCGGCATATCTGCCTGATGTGAAGTTAACCTGTTTACTGTACTCTAACAATACTGTTATTATCAAAAATGGCAAGAACACTGAATTATATCTCAAACTAAAGCATGAATAAACAGTATATTGTATGAATGCAACATATCGGGATACACTTTGATATGTGTCCTGATGCTCAGCTTCAGCAGGTCACTACAGAGAAGCTGAATAATATCCAGCATCATTATCTTTTTTAAATGTTTTTCTTTTGCTTAAAGACTCGTGACATCTTTGTGTATCCTTCAGCTAACTTTCGTCTCTTCCTCTTCCAGCAGCGGGCAGCCAACCGGCCGAAGCCGAAGGTTGGGACGTCTGCGGCCATCAAGCTGCCGTCCAATCGCAGCTCGTCGGGAGCGAGACGCAGGAGGACGCGATGCCGGAAGTGCGAGGCGTGCGTCCGGACCGAGTGTGGAGAGTGTCACTTCTGCAAAGACATGAAGAAGTTCGGAGGGCCGGGGCGCATGAAGCAGTCCTGCATCATGAGGCAGTGCATTGCAGTAAGTGGGACACTTACAAGAGAGGGCTTTTACATTTCATTGGTAGTTTTAGAAAGCTTTAACAAATGTTTTCCACAAATACAAGTATTTTTACGTTTTACTTTGTAGAAGCTGTGACTCAGACAAATAGCAATGTGCTCTGTTTCTCTTCTAAAAAACAAAAGACCAAAAAGTCACGATAATATAATTTTGGTTTAATTAAATCGTAATTATTCCTGCAAAGAGTTGTCAGGTATCAGGTATTGCTAATAACTGTGAAATTATAAAATGTTAAGATTGATATCATGTTCATTAAACACATGTGATAATATCATACAAATAATTAATTTCCGTTTTTCTTTTTTCACTATTGTAGAGTTATGGTTACAGATTCTCTCCATTTCCCTACACTAATATTTTTAATATAATACTTTAACTGTCAAAAGACAAAGTTAAAGATACATTTGATTGATGTCATTATTATTAATTATTTTTTAAATGTCCTATAGATTTTGCAATAATATTGTTATGATGCATTCATTGGCCACATGAATCTAGTAGTGAGGATCTGACATCATGGTGGCCCTCTTCCTACATGTTCTTGATGTTTTCCTCTCTCTTCAAACAGCCGGTGCTGCCTCACACGGCGGTGTGTGTGGTGTGTAAAGAGGCCGGGAAAGAGGACACACTGGAGGAAGAGGAGGAAAAGTTCAACTTCATGCTGATGGAGTGCTCCATCTGCAACGAGATCGTCCATCCCAACTGCCTGAAGGTAAATGAAAGGAAAGCAGCGCTGGGAACTGTTGTTGAGCAACACCGCCTTAAGTCCAGTCATCACCGTGTGATTAATTTAAGTTGAAGTAGTGTGCCAGGAATGCCAGGTCATTGTAGAGTAATGTGTGTGACTCAGACGTATGGACTTTAGTCACTGAAGTGAATTGGAAGCGATGTTGTTTATGTAACACACTCATCATCATTATGGGGTTTACAAGCGGTGTGACATCATTGTGTTTGAGGATTTGACTCCCGCCACATGTTTAGGAACACAAGTGATCGGATTTGCAGAGTGTAGATTGTTACCTCGAATGGATGTTACAAGGTAGATCTTACTAGTAGAAGTGCTAACTGCAAACTGATATGAAGCAGCACACACCCTGCTTCTGGTTGTTAACGTCAGGCTAGCACAGGCTTGGTCAAACCAGTTTCTCAGACAAGCGCTGTCAAGTTGTTTAGCAGCAAGCATCAACTAAGGCATCATATGTTTTCCCTTTTTTTTGTATACGTAATAATAAAGAAGCGCTTATTTAAGTAGGAGTTTAAATATGTTTTTAAACCATTCTTGTCGTTTGTATATCATTAACTTTACTCTAGGTGTTACCTTGATTTTTCAAAGAAAACTTTTTTATATCAGTTTTTCTCCACAGTGAATCATTCTTAAAGAATTTTCTCCGTTTCTTTTTTTTATATTTAAGGTAAACTTAGTCATCACCATATCACAACACTTCTTTACAAATTCTGACACAACCCTTTCAAACAATACAAGTCTGATTCATGCAGTTGTCATGCACTTCCTACGTAATACATTCATTTTTGAAAAAACATTACAATTCAAAACACTCAGTGGTGTGAGTCTGAAACAGTGGCGTCTGTGCATGAGTGACTGTTGGGCAGAAGTATTTTGATAGTACATTTACTTCAGTTCCTCAATACTTTTCATTGTTTATTTATTCTGTAATCGCTGTGAAGGCATGTGAGAAAAACAACATTTTCTTTACTCAACCAGTGTAATCTGGAATCCCTAATCTGTATAAAATGTTCATTATGTTGGTAAACTTTTCCGTTGAATTCACTCCCCTTCTCTATTGAATACATGAAGAGTGTGCACGATATCTGAGGTTAAACTGTGCTGACCTGCCTGGCAGGCGCACGTCACAACCGTCACTTTCACTTCCCCTCTCTTGTTTGTGTTGTAAAAAACTGAGCGTTAAAGCTTGTTGTTCTTGTTGAGATCCGGTTCATTTCCTTGTTGGTGTTTCAGGTGAACGATGCCTCAGGAGTGGTGAACGATGAGCTACCCAACTGCTGGGAATGCCCCAAATGCAACCATGCTGGAAAAAGTGGAAAAGTGAGTATAAACATGTGTGAGTCAGCAGGTTCAGATGATATAACTGCTTACTAAGGTTGTGTTGGAAGTATTCTGACTCACCCATTGTAAAAGTTTTACTACCAAAGAGTTCTGTGATTTATTTCAGTATTGCTCATGGATAATAGAAGCTTTCTTTATTCAGTATTACTTTCAGTATTTCAGTTTGTGTGTGATGATCATCTTGCCACTTCCTGTTTATACTTTTCTAGTTTGTGAAAGTCTTTCACATGTGACTGTGTTTGTCACAGACGCAGGAAACCACTGACTCAGCCAGTGGTGGAAGAAGTACTCAGATCTTATACTTCAGTTAAAGTAATAACACCACAGATTTGTTAAAAGCTAAGTAAAAAAGTAGGTTAGAAAAACTTAACCTGGAACTCTGCAGTCAAGGTACTCGTTATGCACATATTTATTATATAGTATTGGATATTTAAGATATATGCCACTCTAATTTGACAGGTGGAGTTTCTTTTTGACTTTATATGCTGGGTAAATTAATATAATATAATACAGAATGTATTAGATGGTTACATTTCATATTAATTGTAAATGGAATAAAAAGTTGCATATTTGCCTCTTAGATGTAACACGGCAGAGCTATAAAGTAGCAAATAGTAAATTACTATCAAGTAAATAACCAGGTTTTTACTATGTTTCAGTCGAGTTTAAATGTAAAGGGGTCACTATTTGTTTCTGCCTGGTGGCTTTAAAGAGAGCATATTAATTGTATGTTCTTTACATTAATGAATTATAATAGTAATCATTTGAAATAAGTGATTTTAAATGATCCTATAGTTACCTAAACAGGTGCCATAGCATTGCAAACAATGTAGTAAGTGTTATGTTGCAGAAAATAGAAAAACTCAACTCAAGTACCCTAACCTCGAGATGGTACATATCAAATTTGAATAGATTTATTTATTTTTATTTCTACCTCTAGAAGTAACACTTTGATCGCAGGCACACTTCCACACACATTTGTAGTACAGTTGGTTTTCCAGCCCGTGATAGGCTAAAGGTATAAAGTTGTCTCGCAATTTTTGTCCCCCTTGGCATTGAAACAAAAAAGGGGTCCAGGGTTCAAGTACGCCTCCAACCTCCCGGGCTCTCTGCTGAGGGAGCAGAAGTCCCTGAAGGAGGAGGGGGACGCGTCCACAGCGGTGAAGAGGAGGCCGGACAGAGAGGAGACCCCCAGGTACCGACCGGAGGAGACTCTCCACCGACAGCCCCCCCTGCTCTCCCCCAGCAACCTGCCCCGCCCCCGGCCCGAGGACAAACTGAGGAAGAAGAGGAAGCTGTTTGATGACGATGAGGAAGAGGATCTCGGCGTGAGGAAGAAGGTTAGTATCTTTATTACCCTTTTTTTTCAGAAGTGAGTATTTGAGTATAGACTTTCTATTGCCAGATGCGTTTCTGTTTTTCTTCTGGTGTTTTACTCACGTTTGATGTGACAAAAACACGGTTAAACTGTGAATTATTTTCAATTTTTAACTTAATTATTATATCTTCCACTCACCCAGAGTTACAGGCTAACAACGCATGATTAAAATGGTTTCAGTTGAGTTTAAATTAAGAGTAATAACTTTATTTTCTGGCCTGGAAACTTTAAGGAGAGCATATTAACTATATATTAATAGATCATAAGAAATGTCCAAACCCCTGGAGAACACATGTCATAGCTTTCTGTCAATGGGGGGGGGGAAATGAGCAGGTTTCATATTTCTATTACTGTAGATTGATTTGATAAACACTTTTGACTACGGCAGAGTAATTTGTCATGAGGAAAATGCAGAATGTAACCCCTCCTGCTAAGGACAAAAGCCAGATGTTAATGGGTGTTAATTTTTGTCCAGGGGGAAAGGGGTGTGTGACTTGTTTGTGTGAGTCTCCTGCCCCAATGAAACCCAGCCCATATGTGCTCATAAGACACTAGACAACAAGCAGGATGGACACATGACTTTAATGATATACAGTTCCAAACATTCAAAGAAAGAAAACAAATGAGAACATGTCAGAACACTTTGCATCAGTTGCACTCTGAATGTCGTTGTACTTTTGGTATAATGACAATAAAAGGCTTTAACTTAAAGTGGACCTATCATGCTATATTTGAATAATATATTGTAGGGCCATACCTATATAAGGTATATTTATACGTTTTCTTTTTCAAAATACCAAACAGATCATGCATTTTAGCCATGCCTCATTTCGCTCTATTTTGCTCTCCTCCACCCTGTCTTTGCATGCGCTGCAGCTGACCACGCCCCCCTGCAAAGGAGGGGGCAGAGTTACGAGCGTCATGTTACCATGCTGTTACCATGCCCCCGCAACCTCTCATTCCCCTGATAGGTGGAGAGTTGGCCATATAGGTGGAGCTCCTCCGTCCTGACATGAGAGAAATGTTCAAATCTGTATCAGTCTGTATCAGATCCATTGCAGCCCCGTTTTTAGAGATTTGGGTATGGAGGAAAAGAGAGAGGGTTGTGTTTTCTGACACTTGGTGAGTTCCCTGGAACACTGGGGACACATATTCATGTATAAAAGACAAAAGTGCATTTTGCATGATAGGTCCCCTTTAACATAACATAAATGTCTTATGGTGATGGATATAGTGTTCTCCATCTTTCTCTTTTTGTAAAAGGCCAACTCAACATATTATCTTGGCTTTAGACCACTAAAATACATTTCAGGTTCCTCAACAGAAAGAAATTCTTGAGACAATGTACCTGGGGATATGCAACATAAAGTAAAACTCCTCCTCAACAACCCCAAGATCCCCAAAAACTGCCCTATCTGTAAAACTTATTTGTAAATATTGCAATTAATTCTCTTTTTCTATCCTATAGGAAAAGTCAGATGATCCTTATTATTCCAAACTCCTACATCATATAAAGACAGAAGAGGAGGACGAAGACCCCTATGAGGAGGAGGATGAAGAAGGCAGGGTGCCTCACTTCAGGGGAGGTGTAGAAAGGAGAGGGCGTTTTGTGGACCCTGAAGACGAAGCAGATGAGAGGGACTCCAGGAGTTCACTCTTAAACCCCTCCGTTAAAACTCCTTTTGGAGACAGTGACCAGTCGCTCTGCAGCTCCCCGCAGGCCGGCCCCAGCAGCGAGGGCGGCAGTGAGACCCAGGAAAAGGGTCCGCGTCGCAAAGCCCGCCGGAAGCGCCGTTTACCCAACAGAGAGCTGAGCCGGGAGCTGAGCAAAGCCCTGAACCAGGAGATCCAGAAGACGGAGGACTGCCTGGCCAACGAGAACCGGCAGCCCCTCAAGGTGGAGCCGCAGACGGAGAACGAGGAACCCAAGAGGCTGTTCCGCAACGAGCTGGGGGATCAGAGGCCCCACCTCAAGAACAAAGAGATGAACGGGACCCCCTGGGAGCTGCGCCACTTCTACCCCAGTCAGATCACCCCGCTGGGCTTCAACAGGAGCACCCCCACCAACCGGCCCGTGCCCCCACACTCCCCGCCCAAGTGTGTCCAGATGGAGCGGCACGTCATCCGGCCGCCCCCGATAAGCCCGCCCCCCGACAGACTGCCGCTGAAAGACGGGAAATCACACGTCATTCAGCGAGAGGTGTGGATGAAGATCTTCGGATACCTCACCCACCAGGAGCTGTGTGTCTGCATGAGGGTCTGCAAGACGTGGAACAGATGGTACGGGGACGAGACACATTTGTTTAACATGAGGGGCGATACTGCTTAGGAAAAATATCTCATCAGTTATAAGCTACGAACAATTTATATCTCAAACTTTTTTATATCCTCTCTAAAACAACACAGCTGTTGGATTTAACCTGTTGATGTTTATAATCGTTCCCTAAAGCATCACTCTTGCAAACTAATTCCCCAAATCTGAGGTTGTGTATTGTCATTTTGAATTCGTATTGATTTTTACAAATGTCTACTTTATCATATCATTTAGTTTGACTTCAACTTCACACAATTGCACAATTTAATTTGAAATGCAGTTTGCAGGTGGCAGCTTCTTTTCAATTTATTTATTATTGACAAACTAACTGAATGGGAAAATTGCCTTTCAAGTCAGTTTTAATTTAAAGTCAGTTTTCACACGTTCTTGCAGTAATGCATTGGGTTACCATTCTTAGCTCAAACATGTCTTTTGCTTTGGCGCTATTTCCCTGAAGATACAAAAAACACACCACATCTGCACATTTACAAAAGAGCAGACCGCCAAAGTAGGGTCTTAAAAAATATTTGTTCTCTATGTTAACAATAATGTAATTTACCACATACAACAAACCCTAAACACATTGAAAACATCCCCCAACTGTCAAAACACAAATATTGCTGCTCAGATTTTATACATCTTAATAACATGGTTACATATAAATATTCTTTCTGATGTCCAGGTGTTGTGATAAGAGACTCTGGACGATGATCGACCTGAACCGCTGCACCTCCATCACGCCTCTCATGCTGAGTGGGATTATCCGCCGGCAGCCGGGCTCCCTGGACCTCAGCTGGACCAACATCTCCAAGAAACAATTGGGCTGGCTTATAAACAGATTGCCAGGTAACTATGATAAAAACCTAGAAGACATTATTCAACTTCTGAAATCCTCCTCCTGCTGCCTTGATATTATTCCAACAGGATTTTTCAAAGATGTTTTTCATTGCATGGCCTCAGATCTACTTCATATAGTAAACAAGTCTCTTCACTCAGGTGTTTTTCCACAGGCCCTGAAAACTGTAGTCATTAAACCGCTCTTAAAAAAGAATAATCTAGATGCTTCAGTAATGAACAACTACAGGCCCATATCAAACCTGCCATTTCTAGGTAAAATCATTGAAAAAGTTGTTTTTCAACAGTTTAGTAATTACTTGCATTTAAATAACTGTTTGGATGTGTTCCAATCAGGCTTTCGACCAAACCACAGCACTGAGACTGCTCTTGTAAAGGTCTTCAATGACATCCACTTAAACACAGACAGTGGCAGAACTTCAGTGTTAGTGTTATTAGATCTCAGTGCTGCGTTTGACACTGTTGACCACAACATATTACTAGACCGACTGGAAAACTGGGTGGGACTTTCGGCAACAGTTCTAAATTGGTTTGAATCCTACTTAAAGGACAGAAACAACTTTGTTTCTATAGGTAAATACACATCTGAGTTGACAAATATGACATGTGGGGTACCTCAAGGCTCCATCTTGGGGCCTCTTCTCTTTAACATCTACATGCTACCACTTGCTCAGATAATGAAAAACAACAAAATAAGTTACCATAGCTATGCAGATGACACACAAATTTATGTAACCATTTCACCAGGAGACTATTCTCCAATTCAAACACTGAGTAAGTGCATTGAACAAATCAATGACTGGATGTGTCAGAACTTTCTCCAATTAAACAAAGATAAAACTGATGTAATGGTTTTTGGAGCCAAGGCAGAATGTATAAAAGTTAGCGCTGAGCTTCAGTCTGCAATGTTCAAAACAACAGATAAAGCCATACATCTAGGTGTAGTCATGGACTCTGACCTGAGTTTCAACATTCACATTAAAACAATTACTAAATCAGCCTACTATCACCTAAAGAGCATTTCTAGGATTAAAAGACTAATGTCACAGCAGGATTTGGAAAAACTTGTCCATGCTTTTATCTTCAGTAGACTGGACTACTGTAATGGTATCTTCACAGGTCTGACTAAAAAATCTATTAGAAAGCTGCAGCTAATTCAGAACGCCGCTGCTCGAGTCCTCACTAACACTAAGAAAGTGGATCACATCACTCCTGTTCTGAAGTCTTTACACTGGCTTCCTGTGTGTCAAATAATTGATTTCAAAATATTGCTGCTGGTTTATAAAGCTTTGAATGGTTTAGGCCCAGAATACATGTCTGACCTACTGCTAAATGATGAACCATCCAGAACTCTCAGGTCTTCAGGGACGGGTCAGCTTTCTGTCCCCAGAGTCAGAACTAAACATGGAGAAGCAGCGGTCAGTTATTATGCTCCAAATATCTGGAACAAACTCCCAGAAACCTGCCGGTCCGCTGCAACTCTGACTACTTTTAAATCCAGGCTGAAGACTTTTCTTTTTGCTGCTGTTTTTAATTGAACTATTCATATCTTAAACTGCACTGTAACTTTTATCCATGTATTTTTTCTTTTAATGTTTATTTTTATTATCTTTGCTTTTTAATGACTGTTTTTAAATGCCATTTTCTTAATGTCTTTCATTTTTTGTAAAGCACTTTGAATTGCCTTGTGTTGAAAGGTGCTATATAAATGAACTTGCCTTGCCTTATGAGTGATTCTTGAACTGCAGACAAGGAAACTTTCCCTGTTTAGTTTCTTCTGTCCAGCATCAGTATTTTAAAGTGCTGCTGTGTGTTTTCAGGTCTTCGGGTGTTAAAGTTGTCGGGGTGTTCCTGGGCGGCGGTTTCTGCGCTCTGCACCTCCAGCTGCCCTCTGCTGCGCACCCTGGACGTCCAGTGGGTAGAGGGGCTCAAAGACGCTCAGATGAGGGACCTCCTCTCTCCCCCCACAGACAACAGACCAGGTAACCATTAGGTCAATGGAATCAAGCACAGCCATCATGCTAAAGTTTAGTTACTACTGTATGACCACCCTTCATGATTAAATCACTACATTTAAAAGTCTAACATTTCAACGTTAAAATGAGAAATTATTAACCTGTTATTGTTTGTGTAGTTACATTATCCCAAATGTTTCCAAAAATGTTTAAACCTAAAGAAATCTGTAAAAATGAATCCACTTTACACACACGCGTCAGCATAAGGGTTGTCTGCGGAAGCAGTCATAACATTTAGTTTTTAATACATTTTTAGGCCACATTTTTATGATGCAAATTTAAAATCGGGATCGTTTTAAATTATATATTTAACCTTTATGAAGATTTACAATTACTTTTAAAGGGTTTTAATCACATGGTCCATAAGTATAATATTACACATGTTTCCTGTATGATTGCTCATTTTTTACGAGTTTTCTTGAAATATAGGTATAATATTTTTGTCCTCAGACCTAAGTTAGATTTAAATCTTAGGAATAAAAATCAGCTTTAAAGTACGAACATAATGTGACTGACTTCTCATTTATAGCTTTTAGACATCGTACAGATCCTTATTTACTGTTGTGCACCTGTTGACAAAATACATGAACTAATCTGTGATGTTCTTTATGTGACTTTGATCACAGGTCAGCTGGATAACCGCTGCAAGCTGCGGAACGTAGAGGACCTGCGCCTGGCGGGGCTGGACATCACCGACGCGTCTCTACGCCTCATCAGCCGGCAGATGCCCTCTCTCTCCATGCTGGACCTGAGCTACTGCAACCACATCAACGACCAGTCGGTCAACCTGCTGACCGCCGCCGGGACCACCACCAGGGACTCCCTCACAGACATCAACCTGTCAGGTGAGAGATATTATAAATAGATCGGGTAGTGTGGGTTACATCCTCAATAATCTATGAAATCTGCAGAGCTGAATTAACTGATATAAACAGAAATTAAGGATTTGCCAATTTACAATCCAAAATCATCAGAATATATAGTCAATTAGGTGTGATTAGCAGAGAACAAAAATATCGGGAGTTTCCTATTTTAAGTGTTAATTTTGTAGACAGAAACTATGTTGAAATATGTTTGTTAATGGCCTTTTATTACATAATTACAACTAGACAAAAAGAAGGATTTAATCTCATGTATTATAGATTTCATCTATATACTGTAAATCAAACTCTGCTTACTTGTTCCAGTTTCAGTAGAGGCCCTGACAGGATCATGTAAGAGTTAGTAATGGCAACAGATCAAAGTTTTACAATGACGTTTTGGCACCAGCCAGAAATAAATGTTTCCCCCCAATGTGACGTAAGATGTTTTACATCTAACCTTAGTAGACCTTAGCAGTTTTCTCATTTTGCCAGCAGGTATAACAATATGTTAATTTCACTACAGGAGAAACGTAATGTTCTCTGCAACTGGGTGAAAAATTATATATAGTGTATATCGCTTACAGCAATCCCCCAAAACTAGTTGGAAAATATAATCAATAATCCAATATCAAGCACCCCTACATGCACTTAATATATCCAAAAATTGTAGAAGCTATTTGATATCCAGTCAAGTTTCACCAAACATCCTTTATAAATATCAAGCTTGTGACTGATATTGTTCTCGGTTTCCCTTTCAGTTTGTAACCGGGTCACAGACCATTCCCTGAACTTTTTCAAGCGCTGTGGCAGCATCTGTCAGATCGACCTGCGCTTCTGCAAGCAGGTGACGAGGACGGCCTGCGAGCGCTTCATCGCAGAAATGTCAGTGAGCGTGCCGTTCAGACTGAAAGAGGACAAACTGCTGCAGAAGGCCAGCTAGTTCTTCCTAACAACCAATAAAAGACTTTGCACTTAATGGAACAATATTTTTCTTTGTAAACTGCTCCTGTGATAAGTCTCTGAATCGATGTAAAGAAACTGAAACGAGACGGATTCCGGAAACACATTCACTGGACAGAAAAAAGGATGCATGCATTTGTGTTGCTATTATACTTTTTTTTTTAAAGATGTGCTTATTTGTTTGGTTTTTTATTTTTATTCTTTAAATATTTGAGAACACAGTATTTTTATACAAGCTTCACTTCACAGAGTTTACTTAACATGTCTCAGGAGCTGAGAATCACAGAGACTGCATGGCATGTGAACAGAGAAAATGTCCCCTTCCTCACTTTGCCTTCATACGACCATATCTTCTACGTGCCAACATCTGTATCTGACATTAATGGAACTTCAGTATCAGACAAAAAAAGATGACCTGTACAGAAATAAATATCTGATTAAATTATCATTACTTTTTCTCAAATATTTAGAATGTATTTCAAAATGACAAACATATTTCCTTTCACACCCTCATGTCTTCACTTACCTTAATACTTTTATAAATTGTTGAGTGTTGTGTTTGACATTTCAACATTAATTTATTGATTTTGTTTTTTTATTACAGTTTATATTTATTCATTTATTCAATAAGTTGACATTGATGCCTCAGAACCGGATCAAATAATGCTAGCTAATAACTTATCGGGTTAGTTTGAGCCTGTTGGTGGAGTTTAACACACAGTCAGTGGCAGGAAGTTGACATTAATACAATGTGAAATGACTTTACCTGAATTACCTGCCACTGACTGTATGACACAGTCAGCCTCACACATCTGGTCACAGGCTTAAAGTATTGTGCAAATAACTCATTTGCATAATGTTTAAATAATAGCTCCATACAGTAGGTGTCGTGTGTATTTTGGGGTGTTGTGCTGTAATCAATCACCTGAGGTGAATGTGATCATGTTTATATTTGTAAATCCAAAAACTATGCTAATATGCATTAAAATAATTTCATTTGTATCATCACCGAGTCTTTCTTGAGTCCATTTCTTTCAATATATCTGCAATGAATACTCGCGCTTTCCCATAAAGCTTCAATGACATTAAAAGGATCTTTCCTTCTTGAGGAAATGTAAAGTCATATCTTTAAATGGGTTTTTCAGCGCTGGAGCTAAATTAAGAAAGGTCTTTGGCCTTCTGTTTTTTTAATGCAGGACCGATTAACTTCTAGATGTTAAAACAACATTAATTCTGCACAGAAATAAAGCTCAATATCAAGACAGTGAATACAAGTGGAAATCGTCTTTTTTGGAAAGTTTTTGATTATGTATTTTTAATTAATATGATTACTTTAGAACTAATTATGTGATTACATGTTTGCAAAATATCCTTCGGTTCTTGCGATTTTCTATCGGTTTTCTTTTAGTATACAGAGTACCACATTTCAACCTGATCCAGTAGGTGAGGCTGAGTGAGGCTCAGAATACATCTCTCTGAAAATGCATAACCAAAAGGTCTGTCAGTACACTGCTTTGCTCCAGACTGATGCATATATCTGACATACATTTTATATCATTTTGTAAATATATTCCTGCTCCCCAAAGAATTAAATGTTACATACTTTGGTGATGCATCGATTGTTGTCCTGGTTTGTTTAAAATGTCTCTACATTACAGGATGGATGGTCTTTTAATTACATTTTAAGCGATTCTCGCCCCGACAGGACAATCTGTAATCATTTGGATCTCGTAAAGTACCCTTAAACATAGCACCATCTTCAGGTGGTAATGCTTGATACATCTTTTTTTTAGAACACCTTAAATTTGACAAGCCAAAACCAGTAAATATTTGGTGTGTTTGCCTTACTAAACAACTTCAAATTATTACTCAATTATCAAAATGTAATTATTTTTTTGTGTGTTGATGAATTAACTTAATTATTTCAGCAATTCATATTTTATTTAAGATAGTTAAAAGGGAAACTGTCGGTGATGCACGAGTATACAAAAACAGGCTTTAATTAAAATCTTTAATTACCAAAATAAAAAGTTCAACATCCCCAAAATACAAAGACTTGCACACTGTTCGACCCTCTCTAAAGGAAAGGTGCTCCTGTTCCGCTGCTGCTAATGATTTTAGGGACATCTTTACTCTAAGAGCAGCAATGTTGACTTTGTCTGGGTACTTCTAAAATGTGCAGGAGTAGAGGGGGAGAAAGTGGAGAAGATGGGGAATAACATAACCAGCGTCATACGGTTCTCATCATGCTCTGGTTTAAGAGGGACAGATAATTCAAGCTATGCAGATTAAACACATTTCAAACCACTTGACAGAAAAACGTTACTCTGATATAATAAACCCAACCCCAGGGACATTTCAATAATCTGATATTACACCGTTCAAATCAAATGGAAAAAATAGATATTTACATCTCATATGGATCATTATATGCAAATATACATTAGCAAGTCATTATTTTGTATATACTTTCTATACCACAGTTGTCAGTAAACTTGGAGCTATATCTTTGAAAAGTTAGTTCAATACATTTCTCCTATATGAGAAAAAAAAAAAAAAAGCACTTCATTCCACTCCAAACGATGTACAACAAAAATAACAAACATTCAGTTTCACACCCACAGTTCAGCTGGAAACAGGAAGATGGTTGGAGGAGTTAGCACCGGTTTTTGTCTTTCAACTAAAGCTGCTGAGACAGAAGCTACAGCCAAGGTTAGCTATTGCTGTAATGACACTTTGTATGACGGTTTAAATGTCAGAAAAATGAACCACTAGTTGCAGCGCTAAGTGCATTATTTTGCGCCTCTAAAACAATAATAATTCAATATAATTAATAATGCATTGATTTCATCAGTCAAGACCGCATAGCACTTGCCCATTTTATCTTTTTTTCAACTGACAAAAAATTAAGTAGCCTTTAAACTTCATCCCACAAGGTTTCCAAGAATCAGTACACATGTTACTTCAGCCATTGTTATTGGCCATAGTTTACAGTGTGTTGTGAGCGGTGGTGCATTAACACAGTGTGAACAAAGTGCTGAAAAATCAACATCCGCACATGCTGACACCCACACAGTGGAGGGGGGAAGAAATGGGTGACAAGCATAGAGCAACACCCATTATTTGGCACCTTGTTCACTCACCCTCTGTCCTGTGGTGAGGTTCAGTTTGCTTCTGTCCTCGGTGTTTCCATGATATGTAGTGACATGCAGCAGTTGTAAAGAAGCTACAGTTTATAGGCAGATCTGAGGGTGATGCGTTGTGTTAGACAGGACTACAAGTGGCTGAGTGCCACACATTCTTTGCTTTGAGAAACTGTAAGAAAAGCCAAACAGACACTTAGGAATGAACACAGATTAGAGATATGTTTACTTGAGGAATGACTGAAACTGAAGTCAAGTTATTAATAAAAACACATTTCTCACAATATTTGAATGTGCAAATAGTGTGAGAGTTTTAAGGGAATACAAACGTGGGAACACCCACAAAATAACTATTTTGCGGATTCAAAGTTATGAGCTGCATGGTTGATTTAAAAGGTGGATGTTTTAAAGTGGGGTTATATGAGATACTTCCAAAGCGAGTGTTCAGTAGTACTTAGTAGCAGCCCTGGAGCAAATTACTATTGTGGACAAAGCAGCAGCAAAACATACTTCAGCCACTTATAGAATAATCAAAATCAGTTGGAGTGAACGCTATATTTAGAATATCTTCACCACTTTACCTTGGCTAAGTGGCTAACGATGGCTCGTTCCAAAGAGGAGCTCCAGCCCTTGTCTCTCTCATATCTGCTCCATTCAAGGCCACCAGGCTCCATTGAAAGAAAAATGTAATTCTACCTCACAGAACACCAGAGTTGCTGGTCTATCATTGCCACAATTGGAGAATTTGAACCTACCAAAGTCACACAATAACACAGTATGTTATTGAGTTAGTATCTCATACAACCCTCACTTCAAAACACACAAAGTCTGAGACCTGCAGAGGTGCATTAGGACTTGAAGACGTGCACGGCCCTCACGACGTACTGCCTGCAGATCGGGCACTCGTTCATCCTCTTGCCGCACTTGGTGCAGGTGACCATGTGACCGCACTCCAGGAGGACGCAGTCGATCACAGCGTCCATGCAGATCCTGCAGAGGTTGTCATCCTGGACCGTCAGCGGACCCTTCTCACCGTCTGGAGGAGAAACGGAGAGGTGAAAGGAAGTGTGAGGAGACTGTTTTAAAAGGAGTAAGTCACCCACAAGATGATCACATGTCTCCATGTTGAACAAAGAATTAAAAAATGGAGAAGAGTCCATGTGGGCCGTGTTTAGAACAGCAGAACTACATCCTTTTACAAATGTTGAAACAGCTTGTGCAGTTTAATCCATGTTTTATTTATCCAGTTGTATGCTCAATTCTTACCAAAGCCATGCATTTTTTAAACCGTTATTTTTATGTAATTTTGCTGTTGTTAACAAAGCTTTTTATTTGAATTAATTTGTCCTTCCGTCTGTTATTTTTTAATCTTTGTTCACCATTTTCTTCAAGAATACTAAGTAACACAGGGTGAGTAAATGATATGCAAATGGTCATTTAATGGAAGTTTTCCTCGTAACACAGCGATGAAATAACAGAGTGATATATCATGCACTGAGGAGTGAAGAAGGTGCAGCAACATACTCAGCAGCTTCACAAACGGCTCATCTTACCCAGAATGCCTTATCTTGGTGAGGTCATGCTCACAATCTACTCAAAAATGTCAATGCCCGTAATAGCAATATGTCAAGGTGTTTCTATAACGACCATACAGTCTTTATAACTGGTAGCCTGCTGCTAGGAGAGTGGGTTTACACGGCTAATAGACTACACTTCCTCAGAATGACTTGCTTCACACATCCAAGCACATGAATGGATGATAAAATGATCTCATGGTGGATCGATGAACCTGTGGGATTAATGATTTCCATCCTTTATAAAGAAACTCTCACATTAAATGTCATTCACACACAGGGAGGACACATAGGGAGGACACATGGGGATTACACAAAGACGAAAGTAGGACAACGAATGATAATGGGTTCACGGTGAATACAGATGTGGTGGTGAGTCACAGGTGGTGCATGTGACCATGGCAACAGTGGCATAAGCCTTACCTCCGACGGCCCCGTTGCAGATAGGAGGGGGAAAGGCCACCACTTAAGAGTGATAGGAGTAAAGCAAGCAAGAGACATTTCATTATGATTCTGATTGAGAAAAACGCATTTAAATGACTCCGCTTGTGAAGTTTATTATTATTATTATTATTATTTCTAGCGACAGTATATCATATTGTCTTAAGGAGCAGAGATATTGGGTTTTTGTGGTTAAAAACAGGATGTGGTTTCCAATGCTGACATTTAGGAGAGTGCACACAGTTGAGTGACAGCTTACCTGTGGTTTCTGTACTGCTCACATGTTCCACTGCAAGAGAAATCATTTTAAATTAGTATTGAGACTTATTAAAACATCTTATATTCTGTTCTGTCAATACACAGGCTATACCGAAAATATTTAAAACGTAATTTATTGTGTTTAAATTTGAATTAAATCAACATTAGATTGCTGTCTATTTTGTCTTCTTCTTTTGTTTCATTGTGGTCAAATTGTTTGCTCTCCTGCTTGCCACACACAAGGGAGGCAGGATCCTATATTTAACAGGGCAGTGTACACTGAAAATAAATATTCATTAAAGAAAGTTGATTTAATTAAAAAAGACTAAACTATCTACATTTAATCTGAATAATCACTGCATTAAAATTGCAGAGTGTTTTTATGTTTTTTAGGGTGATGACATAAATATAATGACTGACTTTTGAAGCTTTCTTGGAAAATGTTAAAATGGACATTTGGTAACCCTAACCCTAGTAAATACATTCAATATTAAATGTATGCAAACAGGACATTGTTAAAGCCAACAACTGCCAAATCCCACAGTATTTACTCAGACTAAGTTGATACCCACATGATTTCCTGTTCTCCTCCGTCTCTCTGTACAGTCGGTTGACCCGCTCCACCAGCTCCCACTTCTCACAGCACCCTGAGAAGTTGACAAAGTTCCTGGCGAGGATCTCCTTCAGCTGCCGGACGGACAGACCCTCGATGTCCCTCAGGCTGGAGATATCTGAGAGCGACGCTCTGGCCCGACGCCGCGTCTGAGGACTGACCTGAAGGAGCAGGAAACACGACATTAGGGGCAAAATGAATTGAACGTTGAGATTTCCCTTTAAAAACTTGGCAGATTAGCCTCATGCATAAGAGAGGAAAGGGGTTCCAGATGTACACAGTGACAACAATTGTATTCACTATGAGAGTTAGATAAAAATACAGCTTATACTTCCAAGAATCCTGTGTTGTGTTTAATAGCAAGCATGCACCACCACTTGAGAATTCTTGTAATTAAAAATGATTATGCAATATAAAAAGGGGTTTATTACTGCTTGTTTTGAGCAGAAAACACTCCTTTGCAGAACGGGCAGAAGATGTTTGAGCGTGCTTAGAAAAACTCTTATATGCGATAGAATCTTGTGTTTCATTGTTTGCTTATTCAGATGGAGCTGAGCAATTTTAGGCATTAGCATCTTATTTGCAAGCCTTATATTGCTAACCTGGCAATTTTCAACACAAAATGATATACTGCATATAGAGCTGTGTCATCAGTTATTTCTATTTATACGCATTCAGCAACAGAAATGAAATGCACTTTCCAAAACTTCACATATGAATGATTTCATAATGAAAGCAGGAAATTGTATAAGTCACTGATTGATTACCTCCGGAGTGTGTTCACTGGGGTCCAAGTTGAGGAGAGACACAGATGTGGCATCACCTATATCCTGCAACACAGCAGAGGCAATAACAAACATTAGTTTGCACTACACGCTGGGAATAAGCGCGATGACTAAGGATCAGGATTACACACTCTTCAGACAGCTCATTGATACCCTGGATCAACAATGTCCCTAAGCAGGCCAAGTATTTATAGTTGAGCTGAGCTCTCTTTTCAGTGCCTGTTATGGCTCTTCTTATTTGCTTTATATTCCTGATAATTTCATTTTCAACTTGCTTGTGGTAAAGCAAGAATGAAAGGATGAACAATATATTTCAATTAGTTTCTATATTGGTGACATGTCAACAAGTGGTGGTCAGGCTCCTCTGTGACACCTCAACAAATAGTCAGACTGAAGTTATGACATGATGTAAAGATCTGCACAAGTCACATTAATGCCTGAACAAAAACACTTGTGTGGATTCTTCAGAAATGTAAGCTTTGTGACTACAGGCCACCATTATTTAAAATGCAAACTTTCTGGTTTCACTTCTTTTTTTTTTTTTTTTTACAATATTGAGAACAAAAAAGAATGTGGTCACAAGGTACAAATATAAGAAGCTAGTAGAAAAACTTCTCTGCATGTCAACATAGATCTAGATGTATATAGGTTAAAAACATTGAGATGTATCAATCTATTTAAGATATGCCTTTATCTCTTGAAATTCTCAAGGTACGTCTGTGTCACAATTTTAAGCGCATCTCCTTCCTACAGAGCCCAGAATTGGAATTGTTAAAGTGTTGCTTTTTGTGAGTTGATATAACTGTAACTTCTGTTAGGAACATATGCTTTTGTCTCGTATCTATTGCAGGCCTCGGAATCGAATCACATAAAAGTTGTATTGTGGCAGACTTTGTGATATCAGCAAATATTGTACTATTGTCCAAGTCATACGCAATATTGTAATGACAATTGTTGTGTACATCCGTAATGTGTGCTGCAGCTAAAAATCACACATGGTTAGAAGTTCTGACCTGGTTGGTGTCAGAGCTGTCACTCCTGCTGAGCGGCTCCTCCTGAGAGGCGACGAAGGCCGACAGCTCTGAGGCTGACTGCGTGGTGGAAGGGGTCGGCGTGTAGAGGGAACGCGAGTGGAGGCTGGCCGCGTCTGGGTCCTCCTCTTCCTCAATGCCTCGGTGACAAAGCACCAAGTCCACCAGGTCTTGTTTTTCCCTGCAGGTATCCGTGGGGACGTTACGGAGCAGCAAGTACTGACGCAGGTCCCTGACTCGTAGGCGCATGAGCCGCGGACGCTGAAACGCTGTCGCCTTCAGCAAATGACATGTGGTACAGACACGCAGATTCTCCTGAAGCACGGAGCACAGAGAGCAGAAGCTCCTCTTGCAGTCGCAGCAAATATACTGCAGAAACACAGAGAGAGAAAAACAAGATGATGGAAATTAGGCAATTTGGGAATATGTCTAGAATGAGTGACTGTCAAAACACAACCATAAAAGAATAAAAACACATTTGACATACATAAAAGGGATGTGATGATTGGATCTGTGACAAAAAACACTAACAATTATTTTTATTGAGGAGAATTTTCATTAACATGATCATTGTGAATTTTGTGACTTGGAAGGCTGTCTTGTTTGCTTTTATGGAAGAGGATTTTAAAAATTGAGCACAATTTATAATACAGAATAATCAGGCATAAAAGCAGACTCACAATGCTGCTATTTCTATTTTATTTGTATTTATTTACCCTTTATCTATGCAGGGGGATCTAAGGATTTAATATGACCTTTTTATGATTGTTCCCTAAAAAAGATGTCCTATTTGTGATACAATGAAATGTGATTCATTTATGTTAAGAGGCACAAGAGTTTGAATGTTGATTATTATTGAGATAAAATCATGAATCACAAATATTTTGGCCGAGATAAATGTGTCATGAAAATGTTATCTGGAACGCCTACATTTGCCTAAAGTGTGGCAAATTGCTTCCATTTACCCTTTTTTATTCAAATGTCAACATGTTACATTTAACAAATGACTGGAAAGCACCTCGATGTCAGAAGTCCTTTCCTGCATTTTTCAATCACTCACATCTGCTCTACCTCTCCTGGCGCAGAGACAGGAGGAAGCTCATTTATTTTTAAGTGACAAACATCAAACAGTAATAAATGCAAGATGTGGGGTTAGACTGATATGGTGAGCGAGTGAAGCACAGGGTTCAGACAGAATGAGACCATAAGCCATGCATGAACATGAGCACTCGTTGAAGATATTACAGAGCAAGCATGGTGTCCATCTGTCTCTGCAATCAGTTAGAATGGCACAGCCTCCTCATTATAAATGAATAGCCTCTGGGTGTAAATTAAATTGAGTTTTGATATTTTTTCAATTTGGCAAACCATTTTTTTAGGTGATCGAGGTGCTCTATTCCCTTTGTAGGGATGAATACGATTTAAGAATATTTTACACTAATAGTTAGACAGTCACATTTAGTCTAGTCTATACAATATTTAAAAATACCTATTACTAACGTAGACAAGAAAACAAGTGTAAAAAACATGTTCTCTATCTACGTGCTATTAACTAGATGCATTTCCACAGCCAAAAACAGCAGGTAATTAGTCCTTCTGTTTAAAATATTCATCATATACCTCCCTCTGCTTCTACACAAACACCTTTCCTTCTAATTAAGTAAGTAGAGCCGTGAACATGTACTGGAAGACACCTACCTTCCTCCTGAAGACTGAGAAGGCCTGACCACAGGCCTTGCAGACCAGACTGGGACTTCCTGAGCTGGCGGGCGGGTATGTGGAGTATCCCGCACTGGGGGCAAATCTGAAGGGTCCAGCACCGGCCCCAAACCCTGGCTGCTGGCCTCTGACGGCCCCTGTACCCATGACTTCATTCAGCAAACCACAGCATGAAGCCCACATGGACGAGGCCCCTGCCTGACAGTCAGAAAACACAGCATCATTTCAGGATCTCACATTCAGCTTTTAGACATTAATAGGAGCATAACAGCATGATTCTTTGCACCTCACATACTTATTTATTATTACAACAAGCAGTATTTTATTTTACTGTAGAGTATTTGATTATACATGTTATTTTTAGCTCATCTTATTAATTTGTACATATATATATAGATTTCACTCATCCTGCAACATAGGAGAATTGAAACATTCTCTTGCACTATTTTATTTCTATTCTGTTATTTCTTGTGCTATTTTTTTAAATGTATTTTATTGTTTTATGTTGCATTGATGGAGAAGCCTGACATATTTTCATTGCGTTGACTACACTGTAGCTACTGTGACAATAAAGCCTTTTAATCTTGATTTATGCTCTGAAACAAGCCATATTCTTTGTAAAGTTGCCTCATTTGGATGCATATTATAAATAATAACTAAACACAACGCTATGTTACACAATTAAAGCACAAATAGTCAGACAGGAAGAGCAACATTCCACAACACAGGCAGACAATAAAACGTCAAGCAAGCTACATTTTAAAACACTTTCGATACTAAGCTGACGCTAGCGTTACAATACGAATAACAAAACAAATGCATTTACCAAAACAATTGCATGCCTTACATTCCTGTCAGGTCGGTGTTTGGCAGCTGTCACTGAGCTGCTGTCTTGTGACAGTTTTCTAACAGAGGCTAGGTGACATAACGTCAGTGACATGAAGCTTCTGTAGCTAACGTTAGCTCCCTGCTGCTAGCCTCAGTCTAAGCAGAGCTAAAAATGGATCAGAGGTTATGTAAAGGAAAACGGCACCTTCATTGCAGCTCCGGCGTTTCTACCGTGGAAGAGGAGGCAGGCGGTGAAAACATTGCAATATGAGGCATCACTTCTTAAATTGCATGAATTCGTCTTGGTGTGATGAGAGAAATGTTCGAGCCCCGGGCCAGGCTGCTTTTTCTGTGTGAGCTGTGCAGCCTGCGCGCAACCACTCTGTTTCACTGCCCTCCATGGACAGTCTGCAGAAGTCCAGCCTACTTTACAGACATATGGGATACATGTTCACCATTGATGTTCCTGTTGTCAACAAACAGATTAATCAAACCTCTTCCCTTAAGAGTCCTTAAAAGAAAAACGTATTTGTTCCTAAGGCCAAAAAATGCCACCTTCACAAAAACTGCTATAGAAATATAATATATTCATATTTTTCCCCACTTTAAAAGAGTCAATCTTTTAAAACTACTCCAGCCTGACATACACATAATATGAATTCTATTTTGGGAATTGTAACCCTTTAAATGCCAGTTTGTTGAAGAAAAACTCCACTTTTGTTTTATTTGAAAAAAACAAAAAACTAGAATAATTTCCATACAATAAATTTCAAGGAGTTAGTATTATTAGTATTATTATTAGACCCTGATATGGGTCAAGGATTGGCAGCAACATTGATTTTGATGTTCCATTTGGACCAATCCAGTCATTTGTTGTTCATTTGGGTATGGGCACGTCACGATACCCAGGAAGAAAACATTGGAAAATTAGAAATGTTCCACCCTACAGGGTGTACTTTGAGGGTTTTTGACTCTGCAGACCGTTTACATGCATAAAAACCTTCATAACACACAAGGGGACGGGTAATAACCGGAAAAGCATGACATGGGACCTTTAAGGGTTAACATAATTACTTGTATCTGTTTATATTGCCTTTGGGTTTGGATTATAAAGATGGAAATTGTTACAACAAATCTTCAGAAAAACAGCTGCAAAGTTTCAGATCACACAATCCTCTTCAAATTTTGAGAAATAAATCAGTGAACACAGCATTGGACTGCACAGACTCTAGATTTATTTTCCTGTATGCTCAGCACCAGAATGTGTCGGAGATGATGAGCTCATGGACGTCACAGAAAGGCTTCACCGTAAGCCGTACGGAAGATGAACACCATCTGAGAGACGGGGTAATAATACACAACAATAAGGGTAAAATAATACACAACAATAAGGGTGCACTAGGGGGGTTTACTTTATTCAATTATTAATGTAAATGTATTACATCAAGGGCAGAAAATTAGGCAGAATAAAAAAAATAAAGAATTAATTTTAATATATATTTTTTGTTTTTCTCCCAGATCTGGCGCCCTAGGCGACCGCCTAGTTTGCCAGTGCCAAGGGCCGGTGTTGTGTCAAATGATGCACCCCCGTCGTGAAATGCACCCCTTGACACGGGAACGCGCATTTGAATGTATAGTCCACTATTCTATGTTGTCTTTTTGATGGTTGGGTTGTCGAATCCTGGATTTTGCATTCATTCGTCACTTATTTTTCAGTTATTTTTTTATTTAATATATGTTTTTATTTAATTGTGACGTCCTGTCTGTATACTTGTGCTTGTACTTGTGCTTTACAATGTATTGTTTATTTTTACATCAAGTGCTTGAGGGTGGGATTAATAGAAACATTTTATTTTGGGGGGTGCTTTTTATGAACAGCCTGGTTGCCACAATATGCACCCCTTGCTCTCTCTGACAATAAACGTGTCACATACATGAAATTTACTCCATTTATTGGTACTAGTCCTACAACTATACCCTCCAAAGTGCTTGAGGGTGGGATTAATAGAAGCATCTTTTTGTGGGGGGTGCTTTTTACGGCAGGCCAGGGGGTGCATTTCACGACGGGGGTGCATAATTTGACACAACACCGGCCCTGGCAACACTATCTCTGTATGAGCTGAACATGTTTGACTGTTTTTACTGTCTACTGATGATCAGCTGCAGAAAGGACCAGGTCAATGTTTAATTGCATCCCTGTCTCACCTGTCCCCACAGCAGGCTGCCGAAACCCAGACAGCAACAGACCAGCCACTGCAGCCAGTTCAGAGCCACACAGCTGAAGGGTGAGCCCCCAAACTGCACAACGAGGATCTACAGGAGGAAGGGAGACACAAGAGGCTTCTCAATACTCTAATTTCCCCTCCTCGACTCCTCGGTTGCGGTCGAATACTAAAAAAAAACAGCTCCTAAGTTCTAACCCTATCGTCTATTCCTTGACCTCGGAGTGAAACGTCACGGGGTTAAGGGATAGTGGATAGGAGAATTCAAAAGGATTTAGGAGAAGAGACTGCGGTACTTTAGAGAATCCGACTGCACTTTCACTATCCGACGTGTTTATGATGCGCCAGCGGAGGTCATAAATGTGCGCCTGCTGCTGTGGGGAAACTATGGAAACTACAGTTTTCTATACAGCGGACTACAACATGGATGTTTAATAAGAACGAGTAACTACTGTAAACTCATCTAGAGACTCTGCACCGTGCTCTGATGCTGTTGTTTTATGCTTTATGAACGGGGACAACAGAGAAACATATTCTTCATGACCAAAGTTGGAATTGAAATAAAAAAGGAAAGTGAAACTTATGCTCGTCACCCTCTCCCTCCGGTCCACATTAATACAAATTATCCCAATACGTATGATTGTATGAAAAGATCTTAAAATCAATACAAATGTATTTATTATAAACGTTAGTCCTTAACATCTATCACTGTGTATATCACCATTCAAACATCTTTTAAAAGTTGAACAAACCCCACACAGCTCAGTAAAGACTGTGAAATGTTGACTTTATTTGATCATTTCAGTAAAAACTAACGTTCATATTTCTCTTTTTGATTATAATACTGATGAACGTTCAAAATAAAGCACTTTGGCAACTTACCACATACGTTTTAAAATGCTTAATAAGCACCGTAACTTTCATGATATCATTTCTCGTTCATAATCGGTTGTTTCCGTGAACGGCCGACTGTTGTGTGACGGCAAATGCGGCGGCCGCAAGGCATTGTGGGGCAGCATTTTCTCCTCTCCTTTCGGTTAGGGAGGTCCAGTGGTTCCTAAGCTAAAGGAGGTTATAAAGGAAGTTTGAAACCTCCTTTCCTTTTAATTTAGAGAATTCGAACGGCACTTATCATGGCTGCCACTGTGGGACTTCCGGGTCATTTCACTCCGTTAGGAAGGTTCCTAAGCTAAATGGACTATTCAACCGCAACTCCAGTCTCTGATTGTGTTACGTTATTATGAGAGTGCTCTCATACTTTAAATTGTATATATTTATATAAATATATTTGTGTATATGTCCGCATCTGTAGCCTGTTATTGTCTCATTATACCGCACTGTCAATGAATTAAAAGTAAATATATAAGTCGTCATGAACACATCTGTCCATCAGACAGAGGGCTGCTGTGCCTCCTGTCATCATTAATGGACGTCTCTTTAAAATGACCGCTCAGAGGAGAGGAGTTCTCATTTCTCTAACCGCCTGCTGCTTCCCCTCCTCTCTCCTCGGTTCCCCTCCTCGAGTCCTCCGCTCGCATCTCCTGTGGGCGGGACTAAGTCTCGAGGATAGGAGTCGAGGAGGGGAAATTAGAGTATTGAGAAGCCTCTATAGTTTCCAGTATGGTTCCCTCCATGGATGTATAATAAGAACTGGATACAGCGTGGGAGGCGGGGCCTCAATCATTCCTATGAGAGTTGCTCATTCGCGCATGATGATAAAATGGCCCAACTTTTGAGAGAGCGAAACGTCACAGATTACCCGGCATGCCTGAGAAGTACCCGTATGTGCGCTCATAGCGCATGCGCAACTTTAACCATGCCCCCCAAAATGCTCGTTCACATCAAGCACGTCCATTTGCGTACACGTAACAGCACCGCACGTTCATGACGTTACTAACTGTATATCTGTAGACTTGGTATGTCTTAAATGTCCGGTTAGGATGTATTAGAACGAAATCTAAAATTAAAATTGTAAATAAGCCATCTGTATGAAAAAAACCACCTGTATGTAAATTGTAAATAAGCCATCTGTATGTCAAATATGTCTTATATGTCTTAAATGATATGATGAATTGGAAATGGGGGACCCTGATGTAAACAAGACGAAAGTCTTTGCATCCCCTTAACAATTGTATGTTTTGAGATGTACTGTACTGTACCCAATATACAAGCTGTTAATAAACTTTTCAATCAATCAGGTAATGGGTTGTTATTATGATGGATTCGATATTAACGAGGCGGCAGTTAGCAGCTAGCGGCTAGCTAGTAATTATGCTCATTTACACATCAATCGTTATGTACTTTTATATTACGCTGTAACAGGATCTAGTGATATCCAAGCAACAGAGCTTCATTTAGCATGAAAGAATTATTGCACTGTATATATATATATGTATGTATATATATATATATATACATATATATACATACATATACATATATATACATATATATATATATATATACATATATATATATATATATATATATATATATACATATATATATATACATATACAGGGGCCCGTTCTCATGTCTTCAAATGTCCCTCCTCGACTCCCCTCCTCGACTCCCCTCCTCGACTCCTATCCTCGAGACTTAGTCCCGCCCACAGGAGATGCGAGCGGAGGAGCCGAGGAGGGGAACCGAGGAGAGAGGAGGGGAAGCAGCAGGCGGTTAGAGAAATGAGAACTCCTCTCCTCTGAGCGGTCATTTTAAAGAGACGTCCATTAATGATGACAGGAGGCACAGCAGCCCTCTGTCTGGTGGACAGATGTGTTCATGACGACTTATATATTTACTTTTAATTCATTCACAGTGCGGTATAATGAGACAATAACAGGCTACAGATGCGGACATACACACAGACACACAGACACACAGACACACACACACACACACACACACACACACACACACACACACACACACACACACACACACACACACATATATGTATATATTTATATAAATATATACAATTTCAGAATCAGACAGAGCACTCTCATAATAACGTAACACTATCAGAGACTGGATATATCCCCCCCCCCCTCTCTGGTCGCTACAATGAGGGAAATAAATGACGGGCCAAAAGTTTTATTTACAAGTATTACAAGTAAGCAGAGGACACCAAACCAACTGAGACCTGTCTGTCCGCTGCATCTACGCACACACTGCACCACACACACCTACACCACCCACACGCACCTACAGCTCCTAAAGCATATAATCAGGCTACAGCCGTTGTGTATTTTATTATGTGAAGCACTAAATGGTTTTAGAAAAATATCGACTTTGTAGATATCTACTAAACTAAAGCAAATAAAGAGAGTAGGCCTGTTATACTGAGTGATATGATATATATTATACACACTGCTCTGCTTTCTGCACGGACCTCACAGCTGTTCTCACTGGAAACATCGCGTCGCGATGAAAGCAGTTAATAAAATAATATCCAGGGGATGCATGCAGAGCTGTCATTGGCTGAGATAAGTCCGGCCGTGCGTCTCGACCATAGACTGTCTCGACTCTTTGAAACATCACTGTTGCCGGAAATGCATCCACGAAGGAGCCGTGGAGGACCGTGGAGGACCCATCAGTGTATCCTCGGTTATAGCTCCTCCAGAGAGGCTCCTCGACGCTCGATGCTCGGTCCTCGATGTGCATTTCGAGAAATTAGATGTCCTTCAACATGGCGCGCTAAAATTCATTTCCGGGTCACTACCGGAGGACCGAGGAGTCGAGGAGTCGAGGAGGGACATTTGATGACATGAGAAAGGGCCCCGGTTCCCTCTCATGAGCGCGCCAATAACAAACGTCTCCACCTGATGACGTAGTATTTTTTATTTTAAGCGTGTCGGTCTCCAACCCAAATACAACAAGTTGAGTGTCTTTTTCAGGTTTAAAGATGGAAACCAGCCTCAGTGACAGCCTGATGATCATGTACGAGGATGAATCGGTGGATGTTCGTTACGGAAACGGAGCTCAGTTACAAATGTCGCCGTGTGGCTGTGAGTTCATGCTGGTGAAACCCAAAGACCCCTCCGGACACCCTCTGCAGCCCACTGAGAGGGTCCGACAGAGGACCAGATTCACCATCAGCGCTTATAAGGTGCAAAGTATCAGCGTTTCTGTATGTTGGTCCCAGTTTGTGCATGTCATGTATATAAAGAGGTTCAAATGAGGCTACAGGCTGTTGTTCGCTTGGCTGAAGGTCTACAGTTTGATTGTCTTCTGTATTATGTACTTAAAGTTATAATCTAATTTTACAGGAGTTCATAGTTGCTGCATTGGCATTTAGGAATAAATATGCAAGTCGCCCATATCTGCCAGAGGAGCTCATCCCTGCTGACCGCAAAAAGGTACCACAATTGATTTGCTTGCCAAATATTAGTCCTCAAATGTATGAATGTTGTCAGTATTTTATATATTTTTTGCATTTCCTCTTTCAGCCTTTTGTCAGCATTGACTCAGACGTGCTGTGGCCTAAGTGGTCTTCATTTGATGCTGAGCTGGGACCTGCAGGCAAGACCATCATCAGGTCGGAGGAGGGACGAGCTGCGTTGATGCTGTCGGCCTCTGGTGAGGAATTTTCCGTTGAGTTTACAAGCAGCCTCAGTCAGACTCAGCACCGCAGCATGCAGGGTTTCAGCAGAGACTCTGACAGCAGCCCAGGAAATCATCCTCAGCAGCAGCAAATAAGCAATCTGATCTGTCAGACTTCCAATGTTGAGAACAAACAGGTTCATCAGGGAATCGGAAGCAGAAGGAATGAATCTATTAGATCAAGGTCTTGTTCCCCTCGGACTCTCAGCACTGCTCAGCCAACGGTAATGCCTCTTAGTAATATTATTCTGCTTATATATCATAGATTTGATTTAATATTTGACTTCCCTTCCCCAGCCAGAGGAGATGTATCAATCCACCACAGTGGTCCAGCATCACTCCTGCTGCGCTGTTGCCCCACCTTGGTGCTACCCTCTGTCCTTGGCTCGGCATCTCTGGACTACTCGTCTCTCTAAAGCTAAAGAAATAAGAGCAAAGGAAATCAGCGAAAACACGCAGGAACACGAAAGCATCAACAAGCCAGAA